CGTGGAGATGATCTGGCCAATCTTGCGCTGACACGTGTCGTGCAGAGGGACATCTGGGAGAGCCAGTTCCCTGCCACGTGCAAGGGCAGGCGAATCCTGCTGGCGGAATGGGTAGACGGACCGACACCAGGTCCAACCCAGACAGCAGCAGCAGCAGGGGCAGCAGGGGCGGACTTCGGGGCATTTGGCATGGGGACGCAAATCCAAGTCATGTTTGCGTTTCTGAGCATTGCTGTGCGGCATAACCGCACGCTAGTGGTGGCGCCAGGGACGTATTCCAGAGCCAACAACTCGGCATGCCAAGGTATGCACTTGCTGCATACTCTGGTAGTGGTGATTCTGGGGAGTTAAACAAGTTCTTATTTCGGTTCACCTTCTCAGCATTGCTGTGCGGCATAACCGCACGCTAGTGGTGGCGCCAGGGACGTATTCCAGAGCCAACAACTCGGTGTGCCAAGGTATGTATGTGCTGTGAAATCATGCTTTGGTCTGGTGGTCGCATCTTGTCTCCCTTCTTGAATGGCTGCACGGCGTGACCACACTCGGGTGGAGGCTCCTGCCTGTGATGTCTCCAAAAGTCAACGACTGGTGATAAAACTCCATACCTTCTTCTTATCCGATCCTCCTTCCCTCATTTTCAGCCACAGGTCACATGGGCGCCTGGGAGTGCTACTTCTTTTCTTCCCGATCTCCTCCCAGGAGTGTGTGGACGAGGCTGTTGCATCTGTGGTTATAGAGCGGGATTTAAATATCGCACCCTCTCCCTTTTTCCCTCCTATTGCATTTCAGCCACAGGTCACATGGGCGCCTGGGAGTGCTACTTCTTCCAAATCTCCTCTCAGGAGTGCGTGGATGAGGCTGTAGCAGCTGTAGCAGCCAACCAAGCTGCTTCGGCCAACGGACCTGACATGGAGGCTCGGCTGGCCTCGCCGGACCTGGTCGTCAGGTTCGCCGATGCAAGGCATTTTGAAGACATGGATGGGGCCAAGTGAGTAAGCCCTCTGTTGTGGTGTACAACTGTTTTTCCTGTTCTAAGGTCCCTCCCCCCCCTCTCCCCCCCCCCCCCCCCCCCCCCCCTCTCCCTCTGGTACACAAAAGTTATCCTCAACATGGACTAATTGTCTTTCCAAAGCGTTCATCAGGCACACAAGAAAAGAATAGCAGCGATGGGGCACACTGCTGAAGGACAAATCATCAACCATGGAGGTGCAGGGGATGCTGGAAAATTTACCCGTGGCTTGCATACTGTGTGTGTGTGTGAAGAGCTTTGTGGTGATGCTCTTCCATTCCCCCACTTGTCACTCCGCACTCTCCCTCCTCAGGCGGTGGGGCATGCCATGGAGGGACCGACCATCCACAGTGGAGGTGCAGGGGGTGCTGGAAGAGTGTGGCTTGCATGCTACGCTTGAGTTACTTTTTGAGTCGACTCAAAAATCGCCCCATCACGTGCTGGAAGAGTGTGGCTTGCATGCTACTTGTGAGTGTCTTTGCGTCGTATGCTCTTCCGCTCCCCCTGTCTTTGTTCCTCACTCTTCCTCCCCCCTCAGGCGGTGGGGCACGCCGTGGAGGGACCGACCATCCACAGTGGAGGTGCAGGGGGTGCTGGAAGAGGCTGACGAGAGGACCATGCAGGTGAGGCCGTTGATTGATATGATGAGGTGCAGAAAGTAGCACCATGCTCATCACAGTGGAGGTGCAGGGGGTGCTGGAAGACGCGGATGATAGGACCTTGCAGGTGAGGCCACTTCTTCACAGTAAGCCACTGTGCCCGCCACTGTAGCTCAACACACCAACGCCCAAAGTAGCACCATGCTCATCACAGTGGAGGTGCAGGGGGTGCTGGAGGAGGCGGATGAGAGGACCATGCAGGTGAGGCCACTTCTTCACAGTAAGCCACTGTGCCCGCCACTGTAGCTCAACACACCAACGCCCAAAGTAGCACCATGCTCATCACAGTGAAGGTGCAGGGGGTGCTGGAGGAGGCGGATGAGAGGACCATGCAGGTGAGGCCACTTCTTCACAGTAAGCCACTGTGCCCGCCACTGTAGCTCAACACACCAACGCCCAAAGTAGCACCATGCTCATCACAGTGGAGGTGCAGGGGGTGCTGGAGGAGGCGGATGAGTGGACCATGCAGGTGAGGCCACTTCTTCACAGTAAGCCACTGTGCCCGCCACTGTAGCTCAACACACAAACGCCCAAAGTAGCACCATGCTCATCACAGTGGAGGTGCAGGGGGTGCTGGAGGAGGCGGATGAGAGGACCTTGCAGGTGAGGCCGTCGGTTGATGTGATGATGCAAGTGTGTGGCTGAGTGCGTCACTATAAGTCACCCCACTTCTGTAGCACAGTACTACCACTCGTATCAGTGTGGAGGTGCAGGGGGTGCTGGAAGAGGCTGACGAGAGGACGATGCAGGTGAGGCCGTTGGTTGATGTGATGATGCAAGGGCGTGGCTCACTGCATCACTCTTATTCACCGCACCACTGTAGCTCGTCACACCAATTCCGACCATCCATAGTGGAGGTGCAGGGACTCCTGGAAGAGGCGGATGGGAGGACGATGCAGGAGAGGCAGTTGATGGGATGAAGCTCAGACCAGCAGTGTAAGACGCTGCAGCAGAGCATGTCACTGGACCACCGGGTGGAACTCACTACATTCACGCACTTGTTATATTGAACACTCGGTCTTCCATTTCACAAGGCCTCTCCTTTCTCTTCCCCTTCCCCTTTTTTCCCTTTCCCCTTCCTTCAATTTCCCCATCTTGACACCCCTTCCCCCTTTCTGATTCCATCCCCTTTGCTGACTCAGCATCGGTGGTGGCACGCCCAGTCAGCACGCTTCCTCCTCCGCTGGCCGTCCGCACACCTCTGCCACGTCATCAACCGCATCCGCCACGTCAGCTACGGCCTGCGAGTGGCCGTGCACATATCTGACATCAGCACAGAAGAATCTTCCATCATCCAATCCCTCGAAAAGGGCACCAGCTTATCAGGAAAAGGCATTCCAGATTTCAATATGACCAAGGAAGCAGAGTTTCTTAAAGGCATCAACTTTGCTCCGCCAAACCTGGAGACTGACGTCTGGCCCGGGGAAGGCTTTGCTGGATGTTTGGTTCGGGACACGGACGGAGAGAAACCTGCCACTATAGACAAAACCTATAAAGAAGTCGGCGGGGAGGTGTTTATGTTCCGACCAATCGTGAGCGTACACGTGGCGCATGGAGACGCTGTGCTGGAGGGAGGGGGAGCCCAGGGGGGTTTACTGGAAGGAGGGTCTCGAGTAAAGCTGAGGTCGCTAGGAGTGTACATGTATTTTGCGTATCAGCTGCAGCTGCATGTTCCGACCATCAATCATGCTTGGTTAAGCACAGATGCACAGGTGAGAGGCCCGATCTTTTGGTCTCTCTCAATGCTTTCTTGCTTTGTACGTCACTTGCTTTTCGTTGTGTTTCGCTTTGGTTTGTGTTGATCTCATTCCGCCCCCGATTTTCCTCATCCTCATGTGCATTTCTCAACCTGTGTTACATAACCGTGTGTTGTGTTGCATCCAGTCTACACTAGAGGAGGCTAAGCAACTGCGTGACTGGAGCTTCTTATATTCCGAGCACCCATCACAGCCGACAGTGCCGGCTGGTGGTGTGGCAGCTGGGGATGGGAGCGGCGACCTTTCTGCAAATGACAAGACGGTTGCAGTGAAATTCGCAAATCTGCTTATCGCAGCTGAGTGCGACTATTTTGTAGGAATGCTTGGTTCGAATTGGAACCGGCTTATTGATGTTTTGCGCAGCACCAATGGCAGGCTTTTCTCAGGCTATATGGCCTTAAACTTATGAATGCTACATTTGTATCCCTTTGAGATGCCTCAACGCAAAAGAGCTGGAGTTTGCTTAGTGCAAATAAAATGATGATGCATATCACCTTTCAAATTTGTGAGATGTTGATGTTGACTATGTGCGAAGGTCGTAGAGGGAGCTCATATCGAGAATTTCGTCAATCACCCAGCCACCGAGTCACCGACCTCTAATGCGGTTCCCTCAAGTTTCCCGTTTGGCGGTTCCCAAAATTTGACGGCCAAGCGACTCGCGGCAAGTAACAACAAGTTTCCGGTCGCAGGACAATGACTTCCGCCAGCCCCTTTCCCGGACCGACCCGACACCTTTCACCCCCTCCATCCCAAAACTCCAGTGGGCGGGGCAGTGGCTCTTTCCCGCCAAGCCAGCTCTCTCCCCGCGCCGAGACACCTCCGCGATACCTCTCCGTCTCGTCCGCCAACGCGTGCCCTTCCCCCGACCCACCCAAACCAAATTCGTCACATACCTGTCCCAAACCAGCCTCTTCTAATCTGACTTGCTCACCGAACTAAAATTTATTCAACCATTCAATAAACTAACGAACCCTCCTATTTCACCCTTTGAGTTCATCTTGACACTGAACTGTTCTTCGGGCACACCGCGCTCCAGTATCCTCGTGACGGCAATTTCGAGGGAGCGGAACTTCCACCATCACCACGGGGGGAATCTGATGCTTTGTTTGGGTTTGACTGGAGCACAAGCAGGTCTAGAGGGAAGGTATCCATGCTTGCTGTGCCTGAAACCGTGTTCTCGATTTCAACAGTTCCGTTTCGAATCCCTCGAAGGTCCATGGCGATGGATTAGCAGAGCGACCCTGGCATCGCAGTGCATTTCTAGGTTTTAGTCCGCCAGCTGAGCTTCAATCTCCAGTTTCCGTATTTTTGTACGCTGTCAGCTGCCATTTCGTGAGAGTCGCTGAATTGATATCACCTAGTAATGCTCAATTGGTCAAACTACTAGTAGTGTCTTCAACTCGTCAAACGCCAAGCAACTGAGCTTCATAGCTGCTATTTATTCGCAGTATCTTGCCTTTGTCTGTTCTAATTCTCAACAAAGCGCACATATTTCTTTCGACATCCGCGATAGATTCGAACCGCCCCCATGACCTCGAGCTCGTTGCGTCATTACACAGGAAGATGACAGCACAGATGAGCTCCTCCTTGGAGTGGCGAATGCGCAAGCAGCAGAGCAAGCTAGGGTTGCCGGTAGACGAGCCGGAGCAGCAGCAGGAGAAGTTAGGCTGGCCGTTAGTTAAGCCGGAGCAGCAGCACAGGGAGTTAGGGTGGCCGATAGATAAGCCGGAGCAGGAGCAGGGGGGATTAGGGTGGTCTGTAGATAAGTGGGTGGAGGAACAGGGGCAGCGGCGACCACAGCATCGTCACACTATTTATATCGATAGGAATGCGCATTTTGATGGAATAGAAACGGGTATTAATGACAGGCAGGGGGGGCATGATACTGATGCTGGGGAATCAGGTATTTATGAAAGGCAGGAGGAGCCTGCGACGACGAGGATGCGACGACAGCCGTCGCACGCTGCACATAAAACGCCGTCGCAACTGAAATCGCCGTCGTCATGTCGCATGCCATGGCGACATTCTTCGAAGTCACGATTTGATGTGGCGCATGCAGCAAGGTCAATTTCCCTACCGAAGCTTTGGTCAACCTCCGTTCGAAGAACGTCAGTTTCCGTCCTTCTCCGTTTCCTTCTAATTATCTTTACGTTCCAGTCTTCTCTCGCTTCGACAGATACGGCTGACGCAAGCAGCAGCTTCTTCCACGTAGGCAGCACCGCAAATCTAGTCAGCAACGGCGTCATCCGTGTAGATAGCAGCCGAGTAGAGATCCACGTGGAATTAGCAGGAGACGAGAGAGCAGCAGCGAAGGAGGATGGAGCGGAATTAGAACGAGCAGCGGCGGTCAGATGGCGGGCGGAGAGGCAGTTGATGATTGCGTTGAGAGCAGCGGCAGCAGGGGGGTGGGTGGGGGCACTGGAAAGGCCGAGAGCTGTAGGGAACGCGAGTGTCTCAGGTTCGGCTCAACAGTCGCTAGGACAACCGAGAGTAGCAGGGAACGTGGGTGCCAACGTGGCAGGGAACGTGGCCAGGAACCTGCGTGCTACTGCGTTGAGGAGCAGGAAGCTGGCGGCCGCGAAGCTGCCGTCACAGAAAGGTCAGCAGAAAGGGTGGAGTGGCGAGACCTTGTTTCTTGGTGAGTTGAGAGTATCAGAAGCGGGTCTCTGCGAGTACGTGCATTTGTAATCGACTCTAAAAGAGCGTGCGTGCTGCTGCGTTGAGGAGCACGAAGCTGGCGGCCGCGAAGCTGCCGTCACAGAAAGGTCAGCAGAACGAATGGAGAGGCGCGGCGGTTTTCGCTAGGAATTTCTAAAAAATACCCTGAAAAGTCAGCAGAAAGTGTGTGACACGATGCTATTTTTGAGACTTGTAACAGTATCTTGAACTGTCAGCAGGAGGAACCGTGGATGGGCGAGACTGTGTAGCTTGGTACCTACTTGAGAGAGTCCCAGAAGCCGTTCTTTGGGAATATGGCTGAACGGTTACCAGACGCAGCAGCACCTCTCACCCTCAGTCACCCTAATCGGTTATCTCCATTCCTCCTTCGCCAGGCTTCGTGAGCATAGACTGTGGCTACATGGGCTTGTCGGTTGCTGGTAACTAGCAGCCATGGGTTACATGTGGTTACATGGCCTTATGTGGTTACCAGGCTCAGCAGCGTCTCCCACTTTCCCATCTTGTCTCTCACCTTCCTCTACCCCAGGGTCTCTCGCTCTCTCCCCCTTATCCCTCCCTCCCTCGCTCCATCTCCCCTTCACCAGGCTTCGTGAGCCTAGACTGCTGCTACATGGGCTCGGCGGGCCCCAGCAACCTGGTCTCAAATGGTTGCCGGACACATTCCTCCCCTGTCTGTCGCATTCCTTATCCCTCCCTCCCTCCGGTCCCCCCCTCCCGCCTCAGGCTTCGTGAGCCTAGACTGCGGCTACATGGGCTCGGCGGGCCCCAGCAACCTGGCCTCAAATGGTACCCGGACACAGCAGCACCTCTCGCTTCCTTCCCTTTAATCTCTCTCCTCCCTCCCCCCCTCCCTCCCTCCCTCCCTCCCTCCCTCCCTCCCTCCCTCCCTCCCTCCCTCCCTCCCTCCCTCCCTCCCTCCCTCCCTCCCTCCCTCCCTCCCTCCCTCCCTCCCTCCCCCTCTCCCTCCTCCTTTCGTCAGGCTTCGTGAGCATAGGCTGCGGCTATATGGGCTCGGCGGGCCTCAGCAACCTGGGCCTCACGTGGTTACACAGACACGGCAGCAGCGCCTCTTACTTTCCCATCTTGTCTCTCACCTTGCTCACAACCTGGCCCCCTCCGCCCCTCCCTCTCCCCTCTTCATCAGGATTCGTGAGCATAGACTGCGGCGACATGGGTTCCGCTGGTGCAAGCAATTCGGCCTCAAGTCGTTACCAACCACAGCAGCACCTCCCTTCCTTCCCCTATTTTCTCTCAACTTCCTCACACTTGGGCCCATCCCTCCTCCCTCCAGGCTTCGTGAGCATAGACTGCGGCTACATGGGTTCCGCTGGAGCCAGCAACCTGGGCCTCATGTGGTTACCAGACACGGCAGCACCTTATGCCGCTCTCTTTCTTATCCCTCCCTCCCTCACTCCCTCCCTCCCCCACCAACCAGGCTTCGTGAGCATAGACTGTGGCTACATGGGATCTGCTGGAGCTAGCAACCTCGGTCTCAAGTGGTTACCAGACACGGCAGCGCCGGGCGGCAGTGTGGCGGTGATCACCCGCGTGCCGGACGAACTGGTGGGGCAGGTGACGGTGGAGCAGACGCTGAGGGTGTTTGACGATGGGAAGCCGTCAAACTGCTACCAGATCCCCCTGGTTGCCCCAGGTGAGCTGACTGCAGCAGGTGAGTGGGGGTGCAGCAGGTGAGTGGGGGTGCAGCAGGTGAGTGGGGGTGCAGCAGGTGAGTGGGGGTGCCCCAGGTGAGTTGGGCAGTGAAATTGGGGTTTAAGTGAATGGACACGCTTATTAAGTGTGGCCGTGATCGCAGGTGAACCAACTGGTGGGGTTGCGATCGCAGGTGAACCAACTGGTGGGGTTGCGATCGCAGGTGAACCAACTGGTGGGGTTGCGATCGCAGGTGAACCAACTGGTGGGGTTGCGATCACAGGTGAACCAACTGGTGGGGTTGCGATTGCAGGTGAGCCAACTGGTGGGTTTGCGATCGCAGGTGAACCAACTGGTGGGGTTGCGATCGCAGGTGAACCAACTGGTGGGGTTGGTGGTCGTCACATGCATGTCGGTACCTGGTGCGCTTCACGTTCTCGTACGGCAACTGCGGCAGCTAGAGCCTGCTTCTCCCCAGTCCGTACTCTGTTCCCCTGTCCCTCTAACCCCTCCCTTGCTTCTCCTGCAGACTGATGCCTGGTGCGCCTCTCCTTCTGGTGGGGCAGCTACGATGGCAAGAACCTATCACGTACTACTCTCGCCTTATGCCAGTCCCTTTCCCGCCCCTATACTCCTCCTCCTGCAGGCCGCTACCTGGTGCGCCTCACCTTCTGGTACGACAACTACGATGGCAAGAACATGCTTCACACCGATACCTGCAAGAACCTCACCTCACCTTCCTCCGTTCCCTTTTGAGTCGACTCAAAAGTCACCTCGTTACTATGGCACACGACATTTTTTGAGTCGACTCAAAAAGTCAACATGCTTCACACCGATACCTGCAAGAACCTCACCTTCCTCCGTCCCCTTCTCTCTCTTCATTCCCAACTCCCCCACCCATCTCCCTCCTTCTCCCCCAGGTTGCTACCTGGTGCGCCTCACCTTCTGGTACAGTAACTACGATGGCAAGAACCTATCACGTGCTCTCGCCTTACACCAGTCCCTTCCCCGCCCAATGCTCTCTCCTGCAGGCCGCTACCTGATGCGCCTCCTGGTACAGTAACTACGATGGCAAGAACCTATCACGTGCTCTCGCCTTACACCAGTCCCTTCCCCGCCCAATGCTCTCTCCTGCAGGCCGCTACCTGATGCGCCTCCTGGTACAGTAACTACGATGGCAAGAACATGCTTCACACCACTCTTTCCACTGTTCCCCTGTCCCTCTAACCCCCCCCCTCCCTTGCTCCCCACCCAGGTCGCTACCTGGTGCGTCTCACCTTCTGGTACGGCAACTACGATGGCAAGAACATGCCACCCGTTTTCAACGTCACAGTCGGCACTGTGTCGCTGTAAGCTAGGCCCCCACCTTCTTCCTGTATCTTACTGCTTCCTTTGTACGTTCTCTTGGGCTGCGAATTCAAACGGCAAGAACGTGCCACCCATTTTCAACGTCACGGTCGGCACTGCATCCCTGTAAACCAGCTTCTTCGTCCTCATCCCTTCTTCGTCCTCATCCCTTCTTCGTCCTCATCCCTTCTTCGTCCTCATCCCTGTAACGGTGCCAGCTCGCACCATGGCCATCTGCCTCATGCACGTCTCCGCCCACCCCATCATCAACGCCCTCGAGATCCGCCCCCCCCTCCCTCCCTCCCCCCCCTCCCCCCCCTCCCTCCCTCCCTCCCTCCCTCCCTCCCTCCCTCCCTCCCTCTCTCCCTCCCTCCCTCCCTCCCTCCCTCCCTCCCTCCCTCCCTCCCTCCCTCCCTCCCTCCCTCCCTCCCTCCCTCCCTCCCTCCCTCCCTCCCTCCCTCCCTCCCTCCCTCCCTGCTCGTGACCAGCTACTGCTGCTGAACTGAACCTTCCCTTCTTCTGCCCTCGACTCCGTTTCCTCTCCTCCGCCTCTCCCTCTCCCTTCCCCCCCCTCCCTCCCTCCCACCTTCCCCCCATCTGTCCCAACCCACAGAGGCCAATACACGCCATCCAACGACCAAAATCTGGTACTGGAGGTGATAGTAACGGTGCCAGCGCGCACCCTCGCCATCTGCCTCGTGCGCGTCTCCGCCGACCCCATCATCAACGCCCTCCAGATCCGCCTGCTCCCTTCCTGCTCGTGACCAGCTGCCTCACCTTCCCTTCTTCTGCCCTCTACTCCGTTTCTTTGTTCTCTTCTGCCCCCGCCACCCACCCCACCCCCTCCCCCAACCCCTTCCCCACCCCACAGAGGCCAGTACACGCCATCTAACGACCAGATTCTTGTACTGGAGGTGATAGTAACGGTGCCAGCGCGCACCATGGCCATCTGCCTCGTGCGCGTCTCCGCCGACCCCATTATCAACGCCATTGAAGTCCGCCCGCTCCCCGCCGGTGCTTATAACGCCAGCGACTATAGCGAGCAGGTGCTGCTGAACTACTGGAGGCTCACTTGTGCTGGCGACTCGTTCTTTGTGGGCTCTTATCGGTAAGGCTTGTTTGTTGCAGTCACACGAGATCCGGACATGGCTCAGTGAGCCATGTCCGGATCTCTCTGGAGGCTCACTTGTGCTGGCGACTCGTTCTTTGTGGGCTCTTATCGGTAAGGCTTGTTTGTTGCAGTCACACGAGATCCGGACATGGCTCAGTGAGCCATGTCCGGATCTCTCTGGAGGCTCACTTGTGCTGGCGACTCGTTCTTTGTCGGCTCTTATCGGTAAGGCTTGCTTGTTGCAGTCACATCATTTCTTTCTTGTTTACCTTTTAGGTGTCGGAGCTGTCAAAAGAGGACAGGTGGGCTGCGGAGGACAGTAACATCATTTCTTTCTTGTCTACATTTTAGGTGTCCACAACATAGAATCCTTTCATTGTCGGGTACTATCGGTACGGCTTGTTGCTGTGAAGCTGCAACAAGGTGACCTAGAAAGTCAGGTCACCTCAAGCCGGTACAGCTTATTATTCTGTCCTGGTAAGGTGCGCTGCAGTAACGAGGTGACTCATAAGTCAACTAAAGAGTCAGGCCACCTCTCTGCTGGAGGACTACTGGACTTGTCAGTAGCGGACAGGTGGGTCGAGTTTTGAGTCGACTCAAAACTCGACTCATAAGTCAACTAAAGAGTCAGGTCACCTCTCTGCTGCTGGACCACTGGACTTGTCAACTAAAGAGTCAGGCCACCTCTCTGCTGGAGGACTACTGGACTTGTCAGTACTGGACAGGTGGGCTGCGGAGGCCTTACCTTCATCAACCCCTGTTGTATTTAGCTTAACGGAACAAACCCCATGGGTTAGGTGCGTGAACTAAGGAAGGAGCCTGGTTGAGTCAACTCAAAAGTCAAATCACTTAGCTGCTGAACTACTGCAGGCTGGCCTGTGCAGGCGAGGCGACTCGTTCCAACAAGGAACCTACTGGAAAGGCTGATGATTATCATTCTGTACCAGTAAGGTTTGTTGCAACTTGCAGTAAGGAGTTGACGTTTGAGTTGACTCAAACGTCAAGACACCTTCCAGCTGCTGCTCAGCTACTGAAGGCTGACTGACTTGTGCTGGCCACTCCTTCTTTGTTGGCTTGGCTCCTACCGGTAAGGCGTGTTGCAGTAAGGCTGATCTGATTCTCGTTCTGTCTCTTTTCGCCGAACCTTTGGATAGAGTGTGGTGGTACGCCGACCCTACACCTACATTCCCTCAACCCACTTACCATTCCCTTCCCCCCAACTTTCATGTTCCCCCAGCTACCCTGACGACCCTTTGGATCGCGTGTGGTACGCAGACATGCCTCTTTTTGCCAACCCTGCACCCGGCACCTACACCTACATCCCCTCAGCCCTTACCATCCCCCTCCCCACCCCCTCTCCCGCCCTTCTCACACCCCCCCAGCTACCCTGATGACCCTTTGGATCGCGTGTGGTACGCAGACATGCCTCTCTTTGGCGACCCTGCTCCTGGCACCTACACCTACATCCCTTCTGCCGCCTTCTCCCTTCTCGGCTCCCCCCCCTTCTCCCCCTCCACTTCTCGGCCTCTCACACTCCCAGGTATCCCGATGACCCACTCGATCGTGTGTGGTACGCAGACATGCCTCTCTTTGGCGACCCCACTCCCGGCACCTACACCTACATCCCTTCAGCCGCCTCTGTAGCGGTTGCCAACACCAATGTGGCCATCCCTGCCAGCATGAGCAGCAATGCCGTGCCTCAGTTTGTGGTGCAGAAGGCGAGGACGACTAAGAGCCCTCAGGGCCTCACTTATCGCTTCTATGGGCTGGCTCCGGGGAAGTACCAGGTGGGTGTTAGTGGGTGCGCTGTTTCAGTGGTTCTGAGTAATTCTGAGTGGTTCTGAGTAAGTCTGAGTGGTTCTGAGTAATTCTGAGTGGTTCTGAGTAATTCTGAGTGGTTCTGAGTCATTTGGGCTGGCTCCGGGGAAGTACCAGGTGGGTGTGGGTGGTTGGGTTGGTTGTTTGAGTGGTTCCATTCCGAGTGCCCATCCTCATCAATGGCTCGCCTCTCCTGCGCAACGCCCCTGCCCTGCCCTCCGTTCTCACCACTCACTGGAACAAATAGACAAGTGGTTATTCGGCTTCTGGTTTTGTGGATTCCCTGTCCCCCCTTCTCGCGTCTCTCCCTCTCTTTCCCTCTCGCCCCCTTCCTCTTTCCCCTTTGCACTTCAGGCCCACCTCTATTTCACTGACATCATTCCTCCGACTGTTACCACCGTCGCCAGCAACACCAGCAGCATCCCATCAGCCGACTCCCTCCTGGCCATTCTCATCAATGGCTCTCCTCCCCTGCGCAACGCCCCCGCCCTGCCCTCCGCTCCCAACGGGCACTGGAACAAACACACAGCTGGCTGCTCAGCTTCTGATTTTGTGGATTATCTGTTCTTCCTCCTCTGCTCCCCTTCCTCTCTTCCCCTCTTCCCGCCTCCTCTTTCCCCTTCCCACTGCAGGCCTACCTCTATTTCACAGACATCATTCCTCCTACCGGTAATGTCGCCAACACCACTGCCAACTCAAGCACCCCATCAGCCGACCTCCTCCTGGCCATCCTCATCAACGGCTCTCCTCTCCTGCGCAACGCCCCCGCCCTGCCCTCCGCTCCCAACGGGCACTGGAACAAACACACAGCTGGCTGCTCAGCTTCTGATTTTGTGGATTCTCTGTTCTTCCTCCTCTGCTCCCCTTCCTCTCTTCCCCTCTTCCCGCCTCCTCTTTCCCCTTCCCACTGCAGGCCTGCCTCTATTTCACAGACATCATTCCTCCTACCGGTAATGTCGCCAACACCAATGCCAACTCAAGTACCCCATCAGCGGACCTCCTCCTGGCCATCCTGATTAATGGCGCGCCTCTCCTGCGCAACGCCCCCGCGCTGCCCTCTGCCGCTGACCGCCAGTGGAACAAAAACACTGCCGGGCAGCTCAGCTTCTCGTTTTGTGGATTCTTCGTTCCCCCTCCTTTTTTCTCCTTCCTCTCTTTCCCTCCCACTCCTATCCTCCCCTGCCTTGCACTTCAGGCCTATTTATATTTCACAGACATCATTCCTCCTACTCCTACTGCCAAGGTCACCACCAACACCAGCGCCCCATCAGCTGACTTGCTGCTCGCCATTCTCATCAACGGCGCACCTCTCCTGCGCAACGCCCCCGCCCTGCCCTCTGCCGCTAACCGCCAGTGGAACAAAAACACCGCCGGGCAGCTCAGCTTCGCTTTTGACGTCGTTGGGGCAGCTGGAGGGGCAGGTGGAAATGCGACGGCATCAGCGCAGGGGGCCGGGCAGGGGGGCGGGCAAGGGAACGGACAGGGGAACGGGCAGCAGCAGGGGCCGCTGGGAACGGTGGCAGAGACGAGCATACAGCTGAAGGCAGAGGAAGGGAGTAGGGTGAAGGAGGTGGGGCTGGCTGGGCTCGAGCTGTATACTGTGGTGGAGCCAAAGGCTGCTGTGCCAAAGGAGCAAGGTACGTGGGCCACTGTTACTGGTTGAGGTGGTAGTCCCTGTATTGTGCACACAGTCTTGAAAGAGGTGAAAAGGAGGTGGTGGGGTTGGCTGGACTCGAGTTGTACACTGTGTTGGAGCGAAAGGCTGTTGTGCCGAGGGAGCAAGGTGAGTGCGAAAGAGCAAAGCATTAGTCCTTGTGTGCGTTAAGGTTGTGGAAAAGGTGGGGTTGGCTGGACTGGAGCTGTACACTGTTGTGGAGCGAAAAGCTGCTGTGGCGAAAGAGCAAGGTGCGCTGTGTTTTTTAAGAGCATTAGAAAGTATGGAAGGGACACAACAAGTATAGGATGTGCTTATGCTGTATGATGGGTGGTGTGGAAGATCCATATTTTTTTCGCGTGTGTCGTGCTAATGACTGATCCGCTGAGTCATGTTGTTGATGTGGTGAGCCACTCGTGATGTCGATGTGCTGAGTTGTGTTGATGCTAAGTCGAGGTGACATGCGAGACAACTGATGCTTAGTTTGTGCCGCGCTCTGAGTCATGCTGTTGATGTGCTGAGTCATGCCGCTGATGTGCTGAGTCCTGCTGTTGACGTATTAAGTCATGCTGTTGACGTGCTGAGTCATGCAGTTCACTTGGTGGTTCATGCTGTTAACCTGCTGAGAAGCTTCCTCTTCATCACTCAGTAGATCAACAACTTGAACCAACAGGTCAACCGAAAATGGTTTAGCAGATACACAACATACCTCAGCACGTCAACAGCATGATCTCAATTCCGATTTCTAGCTACAATCGCATGTTGTAGTGCTGTAACCATTCCCCTTCCCACTTCCCTCTCTACCTCTCTCCACCCCTTTTTACTCCAACCCTCACAGTTCGCGCCCTGTCATGCATCAAAGCACAGATGGGCGGGGCAGCAGCGTTGGATGGCTGGACTGGCGGGGCAACCCTCACAGCGTTGGATGGCTGGACTGGCGACCCCTGCTACCCCATTGTGTGGCCGGGAGTCACTTGCAAGACCTCCCGCCTCCATTCTTCCGTCATCGGCCTGTGAGTGGTTGAATGTTTGTTGTCTTAGCTGATGGTATAAGCTGGTGCTTGCGTGCATGTTTGTGTTGTTGCTTTGTGCATTCCTGTGTGCTGCCTCTGTGCCATGTGTGCTGCCTTACCTCCTTCGCTCTCCTTCTCTGTTACTCCTTGATTTTCACTATCCCTATCCTGTGTCCTACCTGTCATCTCCTCCATGTGCCACGTGTCACTCCACCCACCAGGAATCTAACCCACCTCAACATCTCCGGTCCTTTCTCAGCCTGCATCTCCGAGCTCACCACACTGCAGACTCTGTAAGCCTCTCCCTGGCAGTCTCCAGCAGTCCCCACCCCAGCAGTCCCCACCCCAGCAGTCCCCACCCCAGCAGTCCCCAGCAGCTCCCCTTTATCCGCCCATTGATATCTGCCCATCTCTATCCACTCTGCTGTATCATTCCCCCGCTCTCTCTTCCTCCCTCCTTCCTCTGCTCCCTACTTTCCTGGTCTCTCTTTTTACTCTGTCCCTGTGTCGTTCCTCGCACCCCTGCATACCCCAACCTGCATCTCCACGTAGTAGCTGAATGGATCACAACCAGCTACGAGGCTCCATCCCCTCGTCTTGGAAACCTCACCTCCTTCCCTCTTTCGTTCATTCCCGCTCTTCCTTCCTCCCCCTCGCCCTTCTCCCCTGACCATCCATGCCTCTCCTCCCCTTTACACCCCCTCCTCCCCCTCTTTTCCCTCTTCCCCACGTGTCAGCTGGATGGACCACAACCGGCTTCAAGGCTCCATCCCCTCGTCTATTGGGAACCTCACCCAGCTGCGATCCATGTACGTTTTGTAGAGGAAGCCTTGAATGGCCCGTGTACGCACGATCAAGCGAGCATAGCAGCACTGGGCATTGGGCAGGTGTTGAGTCAATTCACAATCCATCCCCTTATCGATTGGAAACCTCACCCAGTTACGATCCATATATGTCTGGTGGTGGAGCGAGCATAGCAAGTTCTATTGCTGTGGATCAAGTCCTGAGTTCACTCAATGCCCTATCCCCTCGTCGATTGGGAACCTCACCCATCTACGATCCATCTACGTTTCAGGAAGCAGACATAGAGCTATCCGATTTGAGTTTTGAGGTGACCTAACAATCCATCCCCTCATCGATTGGAAACCCCACCCATCCACGATCCATTTATAGAGCATAGCAATCCATGTACGTCCTATAGAGAAATTAATGCACTGTAGGCTATGTATGTCTTTCCCTCCCCTCACCTTTCTCCCCTCGCCGCCCTCTTCCCCCACCCCTTGTGCCCTCTTCCCCCACCTCTTGTGCCCTCTTCCCCCACCCCTTGTGCCCTCTTCCCCCACCCCGTGTGCCCTCTTCCCCCACCCCGTGTGCCCTCTTCCCCCACCCCGTGTGCCCTCTTCCCCCACCCCGTGTGCCCTCTTCCCCCACCCCGTGTGCCCTCTTCCCCCACCCCTTGTGCCCTCTTCCCCCACCCCGTGTGCCCTCTTCCCCCACCCCTTGTGCCCTCTTCCCCCACCCCGTGTGCCCTCTTCCCCCACCCCGTGTGCCCTCTTCCCCCACCCCGTGTGCCCTCTTCCCCCACCCCTTGTGCCCTCTTCCCCCACCCCGTGTGCCCTCTTCCCCCACCCCGTGTGCCCTCTTCCCCCACCCCGTGTGCCCTCTTCCCCCACCCCATGTGCCCTCTTCCCCCACCCCGTGTGCCCTCTTCCCCCACCCCGTGTGCCCTCTTCCCCCACCCCGTGTGCCCTCTTCCCCCACCCCTTGTGCCCTCTTCCCCCACCCCGTGTGCCCTCTTCCCCCACCCCGTGTGCCCTCTTCCCCCACCCCTTGTGCCCTCTTCCCCCACCCCGTGTGCCCTCTTCCCCCACCCCTTGTGCCCTCTTCCCCCACCCCGTGTGCCCTCTTCCCCCACCCCGTGTGCCCTCTTCCCCCACCCCGTGTGCCCTCTTCCCCCACCCCTTGTGCCCTCTTCCCCCACCCCGTGTGCCCTCTTCCCCCACCCCGTGTGCCCTCTTCCCCCACCCCGTGTGCCCTCTTCCCCCACCCCGTGTGCCCTCTTCCCCCACCCCGTGTGCCCTCTTCCCCCACCCCTTGTGCCCTCTTCCCCCACCCCGTGTGCCCTCTTCCCCCACCCCGTGTGCCCTCTTCCCCCACCCCGTGTGCCCTCTTCCCCCACCCCGTGTGCCCTCTTCCCCCACCCCTTGTGCCCTCTTCCCCCACCCCGTGTGCCCTCTTCCCCCACCCCGTGTGCCCTCTTCCCCCACCCCGTGTGCCCTCTTCCCCCACCCCTTGTGCCCTCTTCCCCCACCCCGTGTGCCCTCTTCCCCCACCCCTTGTGCCCTCTTCCCCCACCCCGTGTGCCCTCTTCCCCCACCCCGTGTGCCCTCTTCCCCCACCCCTTGTGCCCTCTTCCCCCACCCCGTGTGCCCTCTTCCCCCACCCCGTGTGCCCTCTTCCCCCACCCCGTGTGCCCTCTTCCCCCACCCCGTGTGCCCTCTTCCCCCACCCCGTGTGCCCTCTTCCCCCACCCCTTGTGCCCTCTTCCCCCACCCCTTGTGGCAACCAGCAAGCTCAACAACAACAAGCTGTCAGGGCCTGTCCCCGCCTCCCTTGCTGCTCTGCCCAACCTGCAGTTCCTGTGAGTAGTGTCTCGCTCTCTTGCCCTTTGAGTCGACTCAAAAGTCACTGCAGTACCTCTGAGTAGTGTCTTGCTCTCTTGCCCTCTTGCCCCCTTGCCCTCTTGTGCTCCTGCTCCCTTGTCCTCTTGCTCCCTTGCGCTCATGCTCCCTTCCTCTCCTGCTCTCTTTCTCCCTTGTTCTCGTGCTCTCTTGCTCCCATCCACCTACTCTCTCCAATGATAACTTATGATGTCTCTGTTTCTGCACCTCCTTATATGTTTTTTGCACATCGCACCCCCACTCTCCCCAGTCAACTGCAGAGACCTGAGCTCCAACAATCTCTCACTGTCTTTCAGTTTCTGCTACGACTGTCCTCCTTTTGCACCCCACCCACACCCTCTCTCTCTCCCCATCAACGCAGAGACCTAAGCTCCAACAATCTCTCCGGCCCCTTACCTTTCAACAGCTCCAGCGACGTGCAGATTGGGTTCGTCCCTACCCTACCTTACCCTACCCTACCCTACCCTACCCTACCCTAACCACCCTCCAAATCTGAGTCGCTGATGAGGATTCTCAAAAGCCTCTCTCCAGTCCCTTCTCATTCAACAGCTCAAAGGCCTCTCTCCAGTCCCTTCTCATTCAACAGCTCAAAAGCCTCTCTCCAGTCCCTTCTCATTCAACAGCTCAAAAGCCTCTCTCCAGTCCCTTCTCATTCAACAGCTCAAAAGCCTCTCTCCAGTCCCTTCTCATTCAACAGATCAAAAGCCTCTCTCCAGTCCCTTCTCATTCAACAGCTCAAAAGCCTCTCTCCAGTCCCTTCTCATTCAACAGCTCAAAATCCTCTCTCCAGTCCCTTCTCATTCAACACTCCCCGGTGCCCAACACACTCCCCGGTGCCCCAAGCCTGAGTGCCCCGCTCCTCTGCTCCCCAAGCTCGTCCTTCAACCTCGTTCAAATATCCCCCCCCCACCTTCCTCCGCGCAACATCCCCAAACCCTCTGTCTTCTCGTCCCCTCCCTGCTTCCGTTTCTGCCCCTTTGCACCTTCTCCCACAGTATCTCTGGAAATCTCAACCTCTGCTTCCCAGACGCCTCCTTCGGCCTCCCTCAACCCTCCCCCACTCTTCCCACGACAACCCCAAACTCTCGCTCTTCTCTTCCCTTCCCTGCTTCCATTTCTGCCCCTTTGCAACTTCTCCCACAGTATCTCTGAAGCATTAATCTCTGCTCTCCAGACTCGTTTTTAGGCGCCTCAAAACTCAACTTCTCCCACAGTATCTCTGGAAGCCTTTATCTCTGCTCCCCAGACTCCTCCTTCGGCCTCCCTCCTTGCACCAACTCCATCACCACCGCCCTCTCCATTACTCCACACATTCCCCAACCTTCACTTCTCTTCCCTGCTTCCCTTCTCCCCTTCCCCCTTGCAGTATCTCAGGCAACCTCAACCTCTGCTCCCCAGATGCCTCCTTCGGCCTCCCTCTGTTGTTTCCGGAGTCGACCCTGCCCCCCTCCCTCCCGAGTTGACTTTTGAGTCGACTCAAAAGGAGTCGACCCTGCCCCCCTCCCTCCCGAGTTGACTTTTGAGTCGACTCAAAAGGAGTCGACCCTGCCCCCCTCCCTCCCGAGTTGACTTTTGAGTCGACTCAAAAGGAGTCGACCCTGCCCCCCTCCCTCCCGAGTTGACTTTTGAGTCGACTCAAAAGGAGTCGACCCTGCCCCCCTCCCTCCCGAGTTGACTTTTGAGTCGACTCAAAAGGAGTCGACCCTGCCCCCCTCCCTCCCCTTGTCTTCTCCACCCCCTTGCAGTGTCTCAGGCAACCTCAATCTCTGCTCCCCAGACTCATCCATCAACCTCCCTCAACCCTCCCCCACTCTTCCCACGACATCCCCAAACCCTCGCTCTTCTCTTCCCTTCCCTGTTTCCGTTTCTCCCCTTTTCAATTGCTCGTGCAGTGTCTCAGGCAACCTCAATCTCTGCTCCCCAGACGCCTCCTTCGGCCTCCCTCCCTGCAACAACACCATCCCCACCCCCTTCTCCTCCCCATCTGACACGTCAGCACAAACTGCCACGTCACCTGCAGCCATGAGCACAGCTGTCCTCATGGCGCTCATCCTAGGTGTCATAATCGGCGTGCTAATGGTGCTCCTCGCCAGCTGGCTGCTGCTGAGGTGGCAGCAGCGGGCGGCAGAGAGAGGAGGCATGGGAGGAAGGAGCGGTGCTGGTGGTGGTGGTGGCGGTGATGGTATGGGGGGAGATGGGTTGGGGCAGCAGCCGCCTGTGGTGGTGTATGTGCATGGGGACACGGGGGCTGTGACCGTGCAAGCAGCAGGTACGAATAGCCCCATCGCTCTCCCTTCTCTTAGTGAATTTAGAGTCCCCTAAAATCGGTTCAGCACGGTCAGCCGTAGGATTGGGTTGGGGCAGCAACCACCTGTGGTGGTGTATGTGCTGCATGGGGATACTGGGGCGGTCACAGTGCGAGCAGCAGGTATGAATACACACATTCACCAACAGAGCTATCTGCTGCTGGTGCATCAGTAGCTGTAGCGAAATTCGCAGCGATACAGGCAAACTTATCGCTCCATATCCCCACCTCCCCGTGTCTCCCTCCCCATCACCCCCTGACAGACTCTGCCGGAGCGACTCTCTACACACAGAGCAAGCAAGTCCTCCTCTCACCCAAGGCAGCTGCAGGCTTGACCTCCACCTTTCCTTGTCTCCCTCCCTGTCTCCCCATCACCCCATACAGACTCTGCTGGAGCAACTCTCTACACACAGAGCAACCAAGACCTCCTCTCGCCCAAGGCTGCTGCAGGCTTGGCCCCTGCAGCAGTAACAGCAGCAGCAGCAGCGAAAACAGCAGCTTTGGAAGCAACCGACTCACCTGCATCCAAAGCCGCTGGCCTCCCAGCGTTTCCTGCCAGCCAAGAGGAGACTCCCCTGCTGGCTCCTGCTCCTGACAAGCCGCCATCAGCAGCAGCAGCGGCCGTGTCAGCAGAAGCAGCAGTGCCAGCAGCGCCGACCGAGGGGATGGTTGTGCCAGGTGCTGGGAATGCTGTGGGACCAGCAGCGTTTGCTGCAGGAGCAGCAGCGCTTGCCACAGGTGCAGTAGCGGCTGCTACAGCCAGATCTCCTGCAAGAGGGAAGGCGGCATCAACTCCTGTTGCAAGTCCGGCTGTGGCGCAGGGCTTGGCAGTTAGAGGAGCAGCAAGCGCAGGCCCGCTGGCCGCTGCAGGTGCTGATGCTGCTGCTGGTGCTCCCGCTACAGATGCTACTGATGCTAGTGGTATTAGTGCTACTCCTGTAGCTGCTACAGCCGCCGTTGCTACAGCCGCTGCTGCTACAACCGCTGCTGCTGCACGTGCCGATCATTCCATGGCATACTTAGTCGCCCCAGGCTCCTCCGCCCGCCGCTTCGCCCTCGCAACCCTCTCCACCGCAACCAACCACTTCTCACCGTCCGAAATCATCGGGTCAGGGGGCTTTGGGCCTGTATACCGGGGTGTGTTACCAGACGGACGGATGGTAGCAGTGAAACGCAGGGACGATGATTCATTGCAAGGAGACAGGGAGTTTGTGAATGAGGTGGACCTGCTCTCCCGAGCCTGCCACCCGAACCTGGTGGAGCTGGTTGGGTACTGCAGAGAGGCTCGGCAGCACCTGTTGGTGTATGAGTTCATGCCGAACGGGACGGTGAGGGAGCATCTGTACGACCAGATGGGGCAGCCTCTCGGCCGGCTGCGATGGCTTACACGCATTCAGATCGCACTTGGTGCTGGTAGAGGTGAGTTACAAATCAGCTGGTGCATGCATGTGTGAGTGTTGGTGTAAGCCCAACGGGACGGTGAGGGAGCATCTGTACGACCAGATGGGGCAGCCGCTGGGGAGACTCAGATGGCTTACACGCATTCAGATCGCACTTGGTGCTGGTAGAGGTGAGTTTCATTGCGAACAGGTGCGCTGCGGCTAGTGCAGTGGGAGTAGCGAGTATGGGCCTGTCGGTGGGACGGTGAGGGAGCATCTGTACGACCAGATGGGGCAGCCGCTGGGCCGGCTGCGATGGCTCACACCCGGATACAGACCGTACCGCTAGAGGTGTGTTTAATTACAGCTGATGCATGCATGCACCCATGTGTGAATGGTGGTGTATGCGTTCAAGGCCAACGGGACGGTGAGGGAGCATCATCAAGACATGTGTGTCCCCTCCCCTGCCCTTCCCCTTTCTTGTGTCCCCTGCCCTTACGAATGCACATACTGCCCCCCCAACAGCCATCCAGTACCTACACACGTGTCTCCAGCCACCCATCATTCATCGTGACATCAAGACAAGCAACATCCTGCTGGACGGCCGGCTGAACGCGCGGGTGGCAGATTTTGGACTGTCCCGGGTGGGCCCGCAGGACAACAGGAGCCACGTGTCTACCGTTGTCAAAGGCACGGCGGGATACCTGGATCCTGAGTAAGTGATGTTTTCTTAAGTGTTTCTATTGTTTACGTAAGTGTTTTTGCCGACCTTTTGATTGAGAATCGATCGAGTTGGTGCTTGTTTACCCTCCAAACTGGAACAGGCTATTCTTTCTCTCGTCATTCTTTCCTCCCCCTCTTCTTCCCTCCATCCCTCCCCCCGCCTCCCCCCCTCGCAGGTACTTCACCATTCAGCAGCTGACGGATCGCAGTGACGTGTTCAGTTTCGGTGTGGTGCTGCTGGAGTTGATATCGGGCCAGCAGCCCATCGACCTCAACCGCCCCCAGCAGCACTGGAGCATCATTGACTGGGTGAGAATTACTGACAGAGTGGGTTTTCACTGACTGGGTGAGCAGCATGGCTGATTAGTCTCGCCTTTCACTGTATCCCATTATTTGTTACTGGCAGCATGGACAGGGTGTGAAGTCTATCAACCACGTTCCCTCTCCCCATCTCTCCTCGTTTTCCCTGCCCTTACCGGCACTTTCTCTCCTTCCCTTCTATCCCAGGCGCGCGACCACTTGCAGCAGGGCAACATCCGGGCAGTAGCAGACCCCACTGTTAATGCTTTCCTCGATCCCCCTGCCCTTACATGCACTTTCTCACCCCTCCCTATCCCAGGCGCGCGACCACTTGCAGCAGGGCAACATCCGGGCAGTGGCAGACCCCACCCTCCTCCCGCACGAGTGGGACGAAGAAGCCATGTGGCGGGTGGCGGAGGTCGGCATGGTGTGTGTCGAGCCCAAGTCACTCAACCGCCCTCCGATCACCGAGGTGGTGGTTGAGTTAGAGCATGTGCTGGCATTAGAAGTGAGCAATGCTGCTAATGCTGCTGCCGCTGCGGCTGCGGCTGCAAATGCTGCTGCTGCCGCCGCGGCTAACGCTGCTGCCGGCGCCCTCAGCTCTGCAGCAGCACGAGCAGCAGCAGGAGGGGCTGGTTCCGGTGCTGCTGGTGGGGTTACTGCTGCTGCCCCTGCTGCTGCTTTTGCGGCTCCGGCTGCCGGGTTAAGGCTCAGAAACCCGCAGCAACAGCAGCAGCAAGCACTGCTGCAGCAGCTGCTGCTGGGGCAGGCTCAGGCCAATTCTGATCTCCTCATGTCGGGCAGTAGAACGAGTGGGACGAGTGGTGGGAGTGGTGGTGGTGTTGATGGAGTTAGCGGAGGGAATATTGGAAGGGTGAGCACGTTTTCAGGGAGGTACAGCTCTGGCAGGTTCCGAAGCAGCTCTGCTGTGGGCCCCTCTGCAGTTGTTGGTCCTGGAGCTCCTGCTGCTACTGCTGCTGCTGCTCCTGGCGCTGTTACCACTGCTGCTGCTGCTCCGGGTGCTCCGGGTGCTGCTTCTACAGCCGCTGCTTCTCCTGGTGCTGGTAATGAAGCTACTGCTGCTGTTGCTGCTGTCGGCACACCTGCAGATCAAACAACGGGCAGCACTGATGGAAGCAGTCTTAATTGGTGAGGCTGGAAGCAGCCTTGTCCGAAGTGGTGGCATGGAAGCAGCTCCGATGTCTGACGTTGCAAACAAACGAGCGCTGTGCCTTGACCGGGAACAACAATATACATTAACCAGTAACACTTTGTCCCGTCTGGTAGAGTGAAGAACACTGCTTACAGGATTATTATTTTTTTTAAGCGAAATTTCAATATCATCACTGTAATTTCCATGTCCTTAGCTACTGGAATGTGAGACAAAAATGTTTTTTTTGTTCTTACCGATTTCCATGTCCATGGCGGTTAGGGGAAAGTGTACGTGATTGCAACTCTGCGAACCCTCGCGAAGACGCTTGAGTATTCGTAACGTGGGAACCTTAGGCATTTACCTCGATACTATCCAGGCTCTTTCCGTGCTTTTTGTTACGAGTGCAATAGAGTGAGCGACGAGAATTGCACTATCGAAGCAAGAGTCCAATGAGCGAAGGAATGAGCGAAGAATATATAGCGAGACTACAGTGGTAACGGTAATGGACTGTGGTTGACGTGCGACGGCCTGGGACTGAGGTTGGGAAAATGTCGAAGCGGAGGCCCGGAGCGCGGGTTACCCCCGCCGAACCGTGAGGTCGGGGTGCGACGTGCGAAAGTGGCGGGAGGATTGTCGATGCGAAGGTTGCAGGTGGTAACGGTGCTTGACTGTGGTGCTACAGTGGTGTACGCGCTGAGCAGGGACTCAAAGTAAGGAAAAGGAATTTTCCTTACACTTTTGAAAGGACGAACATTTCTGTCATTGCCTTCAGAATTACGCTAAATCGGAGATTCTCGAGAAGAGTTTGGCCTTGTTCAGTCTTCGAAGCCCAATTTAGATGCTGTTGATCCGTTCCTTACGATTCAGCTGTTGTTTCTCCTCGCCTTACCAAATTGGCATTCGCTCACCATAAGACCAACTATCGTGATCACCATTTGCGTCGTTTCAGCAGGAGCTAGGAGTATTTTCTCGAAGGGATGAAGCGGGAGATGGATGGAGTCGGGCAAGGGTTATCCGAGTTGCCTGTTAGAGAGGTGCGCATGAGAGCGGCATGGTCGAGAGCTCTTTTTCCTGTCTGCCGTTTATAGCACTAAACATGGTCATCCGTGGATTTACGTTTTCTTGGTGAACTCTGCCTTCAGGGACCAAATAAGCATCCGAAGACAACAGGAAGCCTCTTGAGACCTGGTCAGTGTGAGTTACACCAGTCTCATTGCCGTGGTTGTCAATGTCATTCTCAATTTGGTTTAAGCACACTGTTGGTGTTTTTCTCGGATTCGAATTCGTGCAGTCAAATTGTTTTTTCTAACATGGACCTAATTTTCTTACCGTTTTTTTCTTTCTGAATACTTGCAGAGGTTACCAAGATCCTCTGTGATTTTCTAGAGGTTGCAGTGAACCATTTGCTCTACCTTCGCTCCATATATCCTCCAGGTAATGCACTCCCCTGTGCATCAGTCGTATTGTTCTTCCTGCCTAGCACATTTTAGGGCCACCATAGGAGCGCTGGATTCAGCAGTTATGTTGATTAGATTTTGTAGTATCCATATCTTGTTTTGTTCGCTTCTGTGTGATCTTTGCAATTCCTATTACAGAAATATTTCATCGCAGCCGCTTCGCATCGGTTCCTGTGTACTCCAGCAGGCACCCAGGCCTCCGCTGCTACATTCGAGACGCCATAAATGACCTTTCCCCATACATTGACAAGGTATAAGCACGTCTTTTTTATCTTCTCGTTTCCCTCTCATTTCCCCCCCCTCTGTCATCCACTTTTTCGCATCCTGTTTCCGTCTCTTTCCTTACTTTCTGTGTGGTTTGCAGGGTGTTGTGGAACGAATTGACCTTGCCGTTTTCTCAACAGATGGAAGAAAAGTCTATGAGAGAATAGTGTTTGACTTCTCCATCTTCCAGCCAGCGCCATCTGGCAGCGTACCAGCTCAGCAGGACAGCTTGGAGTCCATTGAGTATTGCCTGCGCTCGTTTCTCGTCAAAGCATCCGTTTCAGAGTGCTTTCAACGACCCCTCCCTCAAGGTGACTGGGTGCATGGAAAGTAGTCGCATGTGAGCATTTTTTTATCCCTTTCGGTTGTGCAGCAGCCTTGGCCATAAGCAGCATGTCGTTAGAAACATTCATGCAAATCATTGAGTTTCTCCCACTTCTTATGCGAAGTGCCTTTTCCCTTTGCATTATGCTCCTGCTTTTCTATGTGTGTTTTCCGGTGTCCTTTTCAGAATGTGCATGGGAGCTGGTAGCTCACTCTAAGAACCTCCCTTCGGGCAGAAGCTCAAGTGACCAGTTCTGGATCCCTTCTGATTCTTTGTCAGAAGGTCGTGTGCCTGATCAAAGAACGTGCATGAATGACCCTGGTGCTCCTGCGGGAGATTCTCTTGCTGAAATTCGCTCAGCTTCTGGTGGTGTTGAGCCTCAGGATTTGATGGCAGGTCTAAATGGTGTACATCATAGTAGGCCATCTGGCAAGGTGCCTAGGTTATTTCCGATTAAGTCCCTGAACACTGGAATGCTGTCACTGCAGCTCTATATTGAGCGTCCCTGACTGCCCTGAAAAAGAAAAAGTGCATATCTGTGTATTATTGTTTAGTATTCTGTAGTGGTCTATTGCAATCTGCGAGTGTTTTACAAATTGGATATTTAATTTGCTTTGCTTTGTGCCACCGATTTCCAAACCTGACCTTATCTCGCGTACAGACTACTGATACACTAGTTCGACATTCGCTGAGCCACTAGGTCACAGTAGTTCTAAGTTCTTCGCCGTGTACATAGATTCGCGGCTCGTTTGCTGTGCCGTCCACTCTCCTATTTTCGACCCCAGATCACAATCAGGTCGCAAACGTTCCCACTGCCTTTCCTTCTGCCAACCCCTTGTTTTCGAAACGCATCCCAACATTCCTGGGGATCTGCTCGGCTAGACGAGCACCCACGTCCCATGGCCGACGCGAAGGATATCTTGGGATTGCCGAAGAAAGCGCTACCAGGCACGCCTGGCGGAGCGGGGTTGGGAGGAGGCGCTGGAGTGCCGGGGAGTGCGGGGAAGGGGAAGAAGCGGGAGCGGGATGGCGGAGGGCGGGCAATTCCCGAGGGGATCAGCAGAGAGGTAGGGAACGGAAAGGGGGAGGATGAGAGGGGGTCGCACGGAGGACGAACAGGGAAGAGGAAGGTTAAGGAAACGAGAGAGGGCGGTGGGGAGTGTCGGATGGAGGATCTAAAAGGGAAAGTAAGATCATAGCGGGTGGCAATTGAGGAAGAATTTCCTGTAGTCAACGTGCTGTAACAATGGACATTCATTTGGGTTTCGAGGCAATCTGACTGACCATTGCTTGCTCCTCCATCTTCTGAAGTGCGATTGGGGTGTGAAAGCTTCCTTTCTTTTATCCACCCCATGGCTGCTCCTCCCACACCAGGTCTATGCGCTCACGGGTGGTTTACCCCCAATAATGCCAACTTTCGACCCTATGCTCCTGCTCAAGAAAAGAACCACCCCCTCCCAAAAGGTTTGGCAGCCACTGATTGGTCTGATGTACCTCCAAAAAATGTGCTAGTGTATTTCTCCTACATACTGAATCGTACTGAGATCTCTATTTCTCCTCCATAGGTTCTTCATTCTTTCTCACCCCCTCTAAAATTTTACCGCTCCCCGTTTTCTCCCTGCCCAACCCTCTTACCTGTTTCTGTCAGGTGACGTGGCAGTGGAAGCCCATCGTTTCATCTGCCCGGCCAGACGACCTGAAAATCTACCACTGGGTATGCTGAAATGTTTTCTTGCAAAACTAGAGGTAAGAAATCAACGGAAAGTAAAGAGAAGAAATACAGAAGACTGGCTAGGCTAGTGTGGGCATGTGTGGAGCATAAGGTCCAGAGGGACGGGCAGTGTAGCTGACACACGTGTGCTTAATGTGCGTGTGCGTGACTCTGTGTGTGCGTGTGCATGCATGCGCGTGTTTCTGTGTGTGCGTGTGCATGCATGCGCGTGTTTCTGTGTGTGCGTGTGCATGCATGTGCGTATCTTTGTGCGTGTATGCGTTTGCCTCTGTGTATCTGCTTTGACGTGTTTTCTTGTGTCTGCTCTCTTCGGTATATCGGTGGCACCATCAGGTTGAAGTAGTGGACTGGACGGCAAGGTTCAAAGTGCACGTATGGATTTTCATTCTCATGATTCCTTTGCTTGCTTCGGTGCCTTCTTGTTACATTGGTGGGGCGGGGATCAATCAACAGGTTAAAGTGGTGGACGGCAAGGTTCCGGAGGAGGACTATTCGTTTGCCAAGTACAACAAGGTTAGTCACTCACAACAACAACGACTAAAGAAAGAAAAGGAAAGAAATAAAGAAAGAAATCAAGAAAGAAAGGCAGCACCAGCCTGGCATGCGTTGAGTGGCAACTTGCATGGTGCTCCCTTTTTCTTAACACATGCACCTTAAACCCCACCCACCTCCCTCTCCCACTCTCTCTACCCCACTCAATTCACTCCCTCCTTCCCATCCCACTTCTGTTACTACTCTCATTCCTTTCCTCTATATCCCTTCCCCCAGCCAACCAACTCTTCCTATCTTCTGGTTTCTCCAATGTCGACACACTCCCCCTTATACCTCCAGCCACCTCAAGTGCTAAGGTATACGGACGAGGAATACAAGAGTCTGGTTTACCACCCTGTAAGTCCTTCAGCGTTTCTACATTGAGACGTCTTTCAAACACTAAGGCTTTCTGCTCGATCACCCTGTGAGTCTTGTAGCTACTTGGCTGAGTTTTGAGGCATCTAAAAATCAGGGTTCTGATCTTAACTTAACAGTCATGAGCCTATCTCTCCTCTCTCTCCTAATCCTGGAAAGAAACAGACGCACTTATAAATATGTGCGCAGCGAAACCCTCAAAAATAACGGGCAGCACTTTTTGCTGCACCTTGGGAATCCACTCGTCTCATGTCTCTCGTCTTTCTCTTTCAGTTCTCTTTCTCTTTCAATTCTCAATTCTCTTTCTCTTTCAATTCTCTTTCTCTTTCAATTCTCTTTCTCTTTCAGTTCTCTTTCTCTTTCAATTCTCTTTCTCTTTCAATTCTCTTTCTCTTTCAGTTCTCTTTCTCTTTCAATTCTCTTTCTCTTTCAATTCTCTTTCTCTTTCAGTTCTCTTTCTCCTCCAATTCTCCTCCCCTATTTCTTATGTGATATGCCACCAGCGCTGGTCCCGGGAAGAAACAGACGCACTTATGGATATCTGCACCCGATTCGGGCCGCGTTTCATCGTCGTCGCTGACCGTTACAACACCGGCGTGGAGCGTTACAACGAGAGCATTGACCGTTACAACTCGCAGTGCGACCAAATCAGTGCCCCTAGTCTTGCTAGTGCACCAACAACCTCTCAAGGCGCTACTGGTGCTGCTGCTGCTGGTGCTGCTGCTGGTGCTGGTGATGCTGGGAGGGGTGGTGATGCTGCAGCTGGTGGTGCTGCTGCTGGTAGTGCTTGCAAGGAAGAGCCGTTTTCAGGGGCTGGGGCAATCAAAGACGAGCCTAGGGAAACCACTGCTGGTGCAGGAGATGCCAGAGCAGGGGCGGCAGGTGGGGCGGCAGGTGGGACGGCAGGAGGGGCGGCAGGAGGGGCGGCAGGAGGGGCTGCAAGAGGGGCGGCAGGGGTTGGAGCTTCTGTAACAAAGGCTGGGGAACCAAGGTCAAGTGCGGTAAAGAGGAAAGAAAGGACGGTGGAGGAGATTAAAGAGCGGTACTATGATGGTGAGTGTATGGGAACCGTTTTATTAGCCGCCTCATATGATCTCATTCTGCATGCGAGCAGGTTAGTAGCCGATTATGGAGTGTTTCCTGTCAGAAAATATCTGTGGGGGGAGATGATTTTCTAGTCGACTCAAAATTGTCCTTCTGCATGCAAGCGAGTTAGGTGTGTCGATTATAGAGTGTTTTCTGAATAGAGTGTTTTAGGTGTGTCGATTATAGAGTGGGGGGTTGGCGCTGCTGCGCATGCATTCGGTTTTCATGCAACTAGTGGCAGCAGCAGCTACAACCGTACCACTGAACTGAAGCAGGAACAAAACCTGTAGGGTAGGTATAAGTTGTCGAGAGACGAGACACAACCAAGCTTGTGTGGTTTCTCTGTATTCTCTCCTCACTCACCCTGAGCTGTGCAGTTACCAAGAAGCTCCTTGCTTCACGAGCAGCAGCAGGAGAGGAGGTGCCCATGGGTCTACTGCCAAAGGTGGGTGGGTGGGCGTGGGTGGGTGTGGGTGGGTGTGGATGGGTGTGGGTGGGTGTGAGACGAATTTTGAAGCGTTCATGTTAAAGGGGGAGCAGCAGCAGGAGAGGAGGTGCCCATGGGTCTATTGCCAAAGGTGGGTGCGCCTTCATTGCATGTGTCTCTCACACAGTCACACTCTCGCTCGCACGATCCCCCACACACATTCTTACTCACACTCTCCCTCACACTCACCCTCGCACGCCCCACTCAATCTCCTTCACGCTCTCTATCCCGCCCACTCTCTCCTCCACTCTTTGTGCCACTCTCGGTCCCACCCTCTGGTCCCGTTCCTTCCTTTCTTCAAACCACCCACCCAAAGCGCCACAAACAGCGGATATGAACATGCGTGCTGACGTGCAACTTCCCGCTCTTTTGAGACGCCTCAAAGGTTGCCCCTCACTCTCACTCTTACCCTCGCACACTTCCCGCTCTCCTCTCCCCTTCCTCCTCGTATGCCCATCTCCCAGTGGTTACAACATGCATGCTGAGGTGTAGCGCAAGACCCTGCTGCTGGTCCCGGCTCTCACTAACTCTTACCCTCCCTCACACCCTTCCCGCTCTCCTCTCCCCTTTCTCCTCTCACTCCCCTCTCCCCAGGATGGTTACAACATGCGTGCTGAGGTGGAGCGCAAGACCCTGCTGGCTGCACAGCTGGCGCTGACTAGGCGCCAGCTGGCAGAGGAGGAGAAGGTGAGGCGAGAAGGGGGATGTGGGAGGAGGAGGGGGAGGGGTAGGGGGTTGGGGAGGGGGAGGGGGTGGGGGAGGGTCTGGGGGGTAAGGGTGGGGGGATGACTTTTGGATAAAGTTTTATCGTTTTTTGAGTCTGGCGCCTATATCCATCCTCTGCCGCTATTAGGCGCCAGCTGGGAGAGGAGGAGAAGGTGAGGCGGACGAGAGGGTGGGGGTTGAGGGGAGGGAGTGATTGGGGAGGGGGGTGGGTGGATTTGAGACATGACTAAGCTATGTTAACACGAAGCCGCTCCCCTGACTGCTCTTTGCTTACTGCCCCTTTTTCTCTGGTATAAATAGCTGGTGCTGGCAGGGGCAGAGACGATTCTCAAGGCACGAGGATGGAGTGAGGAGCAGCTGAAAGAGCACGAGGAGATACTTCTGCCGAGGGAGTGGAAGAGCACGAGGGTTTTGAGACGTGTCATAACCATGTTGCGTTGCGTGTTTTGAGACATCTCAAAACAAGAGCACGAGGAGAGACTTCTGTCGAGGGAGTGGAAGAGCACGAGGGTTTTGAGACGTGTCATAACCATGTTGCGTTGCGTGTTGCCTTTTTCTCTGTTTCAAATAGCAGGTGCTGGCAGAAGCGGCGAGGGTTCCCAAGGCCCCCGAGGGTGGAGTGAGTGACGAGCAGCTGAACGAGCAGGAGGAGAGAATTCTGTGTAGGGTTAGAGGGTTTGAGATGTCTCTGTGCTTGCTGCTCCCTTTCCCTGATTTGATTTGATCACACAGGTGCTGGCAGAGGCGGAGAGAATCCTTAAAGCCCGGGGGTGGAGTGACGAGCAACTGAAAGAGCACAAGGAGAGATTGCAGTCGAGGGAGAGGGAGAGGGAGGAGAAAGAGAGGGAGGAGAGGGAGAGAGGGGAGCGGGAGAGAGAGGAGAGGGAGAGGGAGAGGGAGAGGGAGGAGAGGGAGGAACGGGCGAGGGAGAGGGAGAGGGAGGCGGGAGAGAGGGAGGTGGAGGCACGGAGGCGGCAGGCAAAGCAGCAAACTGTGAAGCTGGTGAGTAGGAGGGCAAAGCTGGTGAATAGGAGGGCAAAGCTGGTAGCAGCACCACTGATTGTTTGTAACACTTTTTTTTTTTTTTTTTTTTGTGTGTGGATTGTCATGATGGTACTGCTGCAAATAGAAGGGTGGATCCTGGGGAGATTCCTAATCATAACACCAGCTGCTTCGCATTAGTTCTGAGTCTATTTCGGAATCCTCTCCTCCCAAGAAGCACCTGCCGCAGCAGCAACCCCTCCTTTCCTAGATTGCTCATCGTTCAGAACTGCATGCATGCTATATGAAGGCTCACCTCACCCGGTTCTCTGCTCCCCCCTTTGCTCTCCCCCCCTTTTTCCCCACAGGCCTCCATTCCCCCATCCCCCACCCTCTCCTCTCGAGCACCACCAGCAGTAGCAGTCACTCCTCTGCAAGACTCCCACGTGGCACCTCCAACTGTGCCCGCATCAGCGTCCACGTCAGCAGCTGCCCATGCTGACGTGGTGCCAGCTCATGCGCCTGAGCGAACACGTCAGCATGCGGTGTCAGCAGGAGGGGGAGGGTCCCGGGGCGCCCTTGCTGCTCCGGTGTCAGCCCAGGCTGGCAATGCGAGAGTGGTGAGTTGGAATGGGTGTTGGCCCAGTCCTCTCTCTTCACACCGTCCGCCTAAAATCTGAAATACTTTTAAAGAATCACAAGTTTGAGATTGTTGGTGAGGTGCTTGCGTGTGCTTGTGCCTGGCCCACACCCTTTTGAATGAGAATAGTGGTCATTCTCACTCAAAAATAAGATTTGTCTGTCAGGTGCCCGCACCAGGCCTACGCCCTGAGAATGAGAATGGAGGTCAGTCATTCTCACTCTGAAGATAGATTTCTGTCAGGTGCCCGCATCACCAGGCACTCAAAAATAAGATTATCTGTCAGGTGCCCGCACCAGGCCTATGCCCTCCTCTTGTCACTGCCGTGTTCTATCTCCCCCTTTCCTCCACATTCCCCCCACCCCGCTGCCCTGCCTCTTTCGCCTCCCAACCCTCATCAACAGCCGCGTGTGTTCGTGAGAGGTCCCCGTCTGGCGTCCACCCTGCTCGCCTCCACCACCACAGCTGGCGCCCGAATGGCCAAGCGCATCGAAAACACGCTTCAAGAGCTGGGGGTGAGTGAGGTGGTGTATAGGAGACAGAACAATGGGAGGGGGGAAGAGGATTATGATGAGGGCAGGGAACTGGCGTCCACCCTGCTCGCCTCCACCACCACTGCTGGCTCTAGAATGGCCAAGCGCATCGAAAACACGCTTCAAGTGCTGGGGGTGAGTGAGGTGTATAGGAATAAGAATAGGGGGGGGGGGAGAAGGGGTATGTTACGAAGCGGGCAGAGGTCTGGCCTCCACCCTGCTCGCCTCCACTGCTGGCGCCCGAATGGCCAAGCGCATCAAGAACACGCTTCAAGAGCTGGGGGTGAGCATTTTCAGTGGGGGAAGTGACACGTGTGGGGGTTGGGTTGGGTTCGGTTGGGTTTGGCTGGGTTGGGTTGGGTTGGGTTGGGTTGGGTTGGGTTGGGTTGGGTTGGGTGGGATGGTGATAAGAGCAGAGAACTGGCCTCCACCTCCTCGCCTCCACCACCACTGCTGGCGCTAGACTGGCCAAGCATATCGAAATACTCTTCAAGAGCTGCGGGTGACTGGGGTGTAGCAGCTGGAGCAAGAGGGGGGAGTGGGGCGTGATATGGAGGGGTGTGTGGGGGTTGGGTGGGATGGGGTGGGTGGGAATGGGGACTAGAGTCCCTACCCTGCCCTCAGGTTCCCCTGCCCTTGCCCTGGTCTCACGCTGCCCGTCCTAGTCATTCCCCCGTCATTCTCTCCAAGTTCAGGTGCTCTATGTATGCTATATGACTTTTGAGTCGACTCAAAAGTCACCAAGTTCAGGTGCTCTATGTATGCTGTGTTCAAACAGCCCTACTGTCCCCAAGCCTCCTACTCGTTCCGCCCCTCCTTCGCCCCTCCCTCGCCCCTCCCTCGCCCCTCCCTCGCCCCTCCCTCGCCCCTCCCTCACCCCTCCTTCGCGCCTCACTCTGCCCCGCCTACTCATCACCCCTCCATACACAGGTGCCCCTAGCACCCCGCGTGCCCACGCGGGAGGTGTGTGCGGAGTACGTGGCGCTGAGGAAAGAGGTGGTTGCGCTGCTGAACCTGCAGAAAAAGGTGGGAGAAAGAGTGAGGGTGGTGGGGGGGGAAGCGGGGGGGTGACGGCGGCTTTATGCATTGCGCTGAGCTGAGGAAAGAGGTGGTTGCCCTGCTAAACCTGCAGAAGAAGGTGATAAGTATTATATGATTCATTATTATGGGTTGGTTCAAAGTGGAGTGTTGTTATTACATCAGACTCGCACGCACACTCGTATTTGTGCTCTCAGAGACACATGCACGCACATGCACACACACACACACACACACACACACACACACACACACACACACACACACACACACGTGCACGCACGCACGCACGCACACGCACGCACGCACACGCACACACACACACACACACACACACACACACACACACAGAGTCATGAATCGTTTGCACTCACACTATCACTCACACACTTACCCAGACACTCGCACTCACACACACACACACACACACACACACAGTCATGAATCGTTTGCACTCACACTATCACTCACACACTTACCCAGACACTCGCACTCACACACTTACCCAGACACTCACTCTCGCACACTCACACTTGCCCCCACACACTCATTGCAGGTTCATTGGAAGGAAAACGAGCTTACTCTTTTAAAGGAGAGCCTTCAAAAGGAGACAGGGGGAGGGGGGGGCGGAGGGGGGGGAAAGGGTGTTGCAGGAGGGGGGAAGGGAGTGGCTGGGGTAGGGAAGGGGGTGTCTGGGGGGGCTAAGGGCGCAGGAGGGTCAACAGGGGGAAGCAAAGGGAGTGGGAAAGGGGGAGGGGGAGGAGGAACAGTGAAGGGGGGGGGAGGAGGAGGAGGAGGAGGAGGAGGAGGAGGAGGAGGAGGAGGAGGAGGAGGAGGGGGAGGAGGAGGAGGAGGAGGGGTGGGGGGAGGGGGAACAGAGAAAGGGGGAGGAGGAGGAGTGCAAACAGCTGCTCCAGCAGCATCAGTGTCGGTCGCAGGAGCAGCAACACACCAAAAGCACCACGACTCGTCCACCCTTGCACCCCTTTCCAGAGTGAGCTCATGCCTCATGCCTCATGCCTCATGCCTCATGGCTCATGTCTCATGGCTCCTGGCTCATGCCTTCTAAGCAAATGGGTCTGACTCGATCCATGTACGGTAACAAGTTTGTTACATCACCCAACCTTTGTGCTTGCTATGCCTCCCCTCCTTCCTCCGCAGCCTCGGCTGCCTGGCATCGTCAGCAGTGTTTTGAGACGTCCCAAAACACTTCTTCAATCACGCAGCCTCGGCTGCCGGGCATCGGCAGCACGCAATCTCCTCTACACTTGCCTCTCAACTCTCATGCGAACTCTCTCCTATCCCACCATATCTTTTGCGACGTCTCAAAGCACTTCTTTCTCAAGAGACGTCTCAAAACACTTCTTTTTCAAAAGACATCTCAAAACACTTCTTTCTCCTCTCCACTTGCCTGTCAACTCTCATGCGAACTCTCTCCTATCCCACCATATCTCTTGCATCTAGAACATGCATCCTTACCCCTTCGTGCTCTCTCCCAAGCTGTATTCGAGTGACTTTTGAGATTTCTCAAAAGTCACTCGAACATATATTTTGCATCTAGAACATGCATCATTACCATATCCTAGCCATGCCATGCCGTGCCAACCAGTTGTTATGATGAGAACTGCATCTATTCAACGTGCATCTAGAACATGCATCATTACCGCTTCGTGCTCTCTCCCACGCTGACAACACCGTTCTGCCAGTTTGCACAAATGCCGAACCTATCCCTCTACCCCATATTTGAACCTTCCCCCTCCCTTGCGTTTGTACCTCCCTGTCTTCCCTGGCCAGGCCTACCGAGGCTCAGGTTCGGAATCAGCTTCGGCGCTGCCTGTGTCATCGTCTGCTGTTGCATCAGGCTCGGGTTCCGGTATGCCCATGCCATGCCATGCCATGCCATGCCATGCCGCCATGCCAAGCCATGCCATGCTATGCCATGCCATTCCAACCAGTTGGTATGATGAGAACTGCATCTATTCAACGTGCCATGTCGAAAACACTTTCGAGAATTCTCAAAAGTGATCATTCACAAGGAAAGAGAAAGCGTTAAGGTGTTTTTGAGTTACTCAAAGAACAGCCTTCCAACTTGCAACTTGCAACTTGCAATACTGCTTTTGAGTCAACTCAAAAGCAATAGTTAAAATTCACAAGGAAAGAGACAGCGTTAAGGAAAGTGTTTTTGAGTTACTCAAAAAACAGCCTTCCAACTTGCAATATCTATCACAAGGAAAGGGGTCATTTTAAGGTGCCCAAACATATTCCACAAGAAGGGCAGCTTCAGAGATGCATATTTGGCATGACCCATGCCTACAAGACAAAAAGCCTCTCCCTCTTGCTCCTACCTCAGAATCAATGACTTTTGAGTCGACTCAGAAGACAACTCGATGTATATTTGGCATGACCCGTGCCTACGAGCACACAAGACAACTCGTGCCTACGAGCACACAAGACAACTCGTGCCTACGAGCACACAAGACAACTCGTGCCTACGAGCACACAAGAAGCCCTCGCTCTCTTGCTCCCACCTCAGAATCTATGAGTATGATGTGTTTATATCCACATACATTGTATTAGGAAACTAGTTGCAGCCTCCACTGCTGCTTCAGGTGCACTTACTGAGTCAACTCATGGCTGTTGCACACAGACCCTCTGTCAACACACTTCCTGCTGCTCTCTCCACTCCTCATCACCCATTCTCCATACCCCTTTTTCATCCCTCATCACCCGTCTTTTTCTGCCTCTCTTCACAGGTGCTGCTACCACACCACGGCCTGAAGTCGGGAGAAAGGTGAGACCAGGTTATGAATTTTGAGAATTCTCAGAAGTCTTTTCTGCCTCTCTTCACAGGTGCCGCTACCACACCACTTTTGAGAATTCTCAAAAGTGATTTCAATATTGCCGCTACCACACCACGGCTTGAAGTTGGGAGAAAGGTGAGACCAGGTTATGCTGACAAAGCACAGCATAGCCTGAATTCGGGAGAGAGGTGAGATCGGTGTTCTCTCATCATGTCTCTCTCTATCTTGCTCTCTGTGCTTTGCGGCTTTCACACGCATCAAACTACTCAAAGTGGCTATGTCACTGTGCTTCTCTTGAGGCGCCTCAAAAGAAGTCTTGTGAGGAGCCTAAAAAAATTCCGCTCCTCAGTCGGAACTTTTATGAGAAGTGATTATGTTGTGTCTTGTCACTGTGCTTCTCTCCCGTCCCTCTCTTGTTCTCTTCACCTTTCACAATTTCACGCGCATGAAAATTCCCCCTCCCTCAACCCTTTTCCCCTCCCCTCCCCCTCCCCTCTGGTTTCTCCCCATTCAATCAGCGCCAGGCAGGGTGGAGGGTTGCTGGACCCAGAAACACCGTGCCTGCTGCTTTTGAGGCGCCTCAAAAGCCAGGCAGGGTGGAGGGTTGCTGGACCCAGAAACACCGTGCCTGCTGCTTTTGAGGCGCCTCAAAAGCCAGGCAGGGTGGAGGGTTGCTGGACCCAGAAACACCGTGCCTGCTGCTTTTGAGGCGCCTCAAAAGCCAGGCAGGGTGGAGGGTTGCTGGACCCAGAAACACCGTGCCTGCTGCTTTTGAGGCGCCTCAAAAGCCAGGCAGGGTGGAGGGTTGCTGGACCCAGAAACACCGTGCCTGCTGCTTTTGAGGCGCCTCAAAAGCCAGGCAGGGTGGAGGGTTGCTGGACCCAGAAACACCGTGCCTGCTGCTTTTGAGGCGCCTCAAAAGCCAGGCAGGGTGGAGGGTTGCTGGACCCAGAAACACCGTGCCAGCTGCTTTTGAGGCCCCTCAAAAGCCAGGCAGGGTGGAGGGTTGCTGGACCCAGAAATACCGTGCCTGCTGCTTCTGGTCCGGGCTCTGCCGTTGCTGGAAGTCGGGATGGGGGCGGTGGGAGTTCACAGTAGAGAATCCGACGGCTCACAATTGTTCCTCTCCCCCTCTGCCTGCCTCACCCGTCCATTCAATCAGCGCCAGGCAGGGTGGAGGGCGGCTGAACCCAGCACCACTGCGCCTGCTCCTTCTGGTCCGGGCTCTGCTGGTGGGGGGGTCGGGGGTGGTAGTGGGGGTGGTGGGGGAGGGGGTGGTGGTGGGGGCGGGGGGGCACAGAAGCGAATCCGACGGCTTAAAATCACAGAAGACTGAGATGGACTCTTCTGGTGCGAAGGGTGGGGGAGGTTTCGTAGGTAGGTGCAGTGGGGGTATGGGGCTGGGGTGGGGCTGGGGCGGGGCTGGGTTGGGGCTGGGGTGGGGCTGGGGTGGGGCTGGGGCGGGGCTGGGGCGGGGCTGGGGCTAGGGTCCTAGGGATCGGGGTGGGGTGGAGATTCACAGAAGCGAAATCGACGGCTCAAGATCACAGAAGACCGAGATGAGAAGGGGGTAGTGAGTGAGAATTTGTGTTTTGTAAAATCTCGAAAGGGCGCTTGTTGCGTGATGAATTTTGCCCGCACCTGTCCACTCATTTGTGCAATGTACCCCACTACGGTACGTTTTGTAATGTAGCACTGATATGCATTAGTTTGCTGTATATGAGCAAAAACCTTGTGCTGCAGTGTAGATTAGCACCACTAAAACTTTCATTGCAACAAAAGGTGCCAGCACAGCAGTATATGGTTCAATTTTTGTGTTTGGTCTGTCACAACAAGACAGAAACATAACTTCTAAGCAGCATGTTTGCATCATTGAACCAGGCAAAATTGTGGAGGTAATATAACAGATGGTACAGTACAGGGGTTTTTTTATCAGAGTAAATCACTCTGTTTCTCTGAAAATCAGAGTGGTTTTTGGGGGGTCACTCTGACGTTGCTGAGTAATTTTTTTGGAAGATAAGTTTTCTCTGATTTACCAGGGTTTTGATTTTAGCTACTCTGATAGACCAGTGTAAATTTATGGCGAATGCATTTTTCTCTGTACAGGGTATAGGCATTTTTATCGAGCCCCCGCCTTGTGCAGGTAAAAAATGGCTAGAGAGATAAACTTTATTTAGTAAACTGCGCGGTCAAGTTGTTTTTAGGGGTGCGGAAGGCGTGTGTTCAATACTTGACAGGACACACATAATTGGAGAAATAGGTACACTGACTGCCCGGGTTTTTTTTTTAGGAAGTTAAGTTTTTCTCTGACAAATCAGAGTAGCGCTCATGATCAACCCTGAATTTCAGAGTTCCTAAAAAAACAACTCTGGAAATCTGAGTAGTAAAAATCCAAAAATAAGCCCTGGTACAGTACCAGACCAGCACCAGATCAGGAAACCACCATGAGGTGCAGTACCGTAACAGAAATGCTGGTACCGCCAGCTCCAGTTTCATGCTATGTAACCTGGCAATTCTGCCCTGCACCATGAGTCGAGACTCAGTCAACCCACAAGTTACGGGCTGGTTTTGAGGATTCTAAAAAACCAGCTGCAATCTAACCAGCAGCACGAGTCAATACTCAAAAGTCACGTTTTGAGTCAACCCAAAGGTTCAGCCCTGTTCAGCTCTGCAATCCAGCCCTGCAATCCAGCCCTGCAATCCAGTGTGCATTGCCGGGAATGCTGCTGACACCAGAGCGCTCCAAATCTGATGAAGCTGCCTGCCATCCAGAATGAGTCCGGAATATCTGAAAGAGATTATGATTCACCAGGCTAGAATCAACAGGTTGTATTGTCAACAGAGATGGCCGGACTGCTCTCAGCCCATTCTTTGATCAGCCCACCATCATGGGTCAGAGGACTCAGATGGTCGGGCACTCAAAAGGTCTCAGATGGTCGGGCACTCAAAAGGTCTCAGATGGTCGGGCACTCAAAAGGTCTCAGATGGTCGGGCACTCAAAAGGTCTCAGATGGTCGGGCACTCAAAAGGTCTCAGATTGTCGGGCACTCAAAAGGTCTCAGATGGTCGGGCACTCAAAAGGTCTCAGATGGTCGGGCACTCAAAAGGTCTCAGATGGTCGGGCTCTCTTCCTAGAGTCCTTTCATAGTAGTCCCCTCCACCTGGAAAGGAATGGTTTTCCCGGAGCAAGCACACATCAAAAGAAGCTCCGCCCGACTTCTCCTGTCTTTTCGTCGTTTGTTCACGGTTGAGTGAGAGCTCCTGCTGCTGCTTCTACCCCTGCTGCCCCGGCTGCTGCTGCTCCTGCTTCAACCCCTGCTGCTTCTGCTGCCTCTGCTGTTTCTGCTGCTCCTGCTCCCCCTGCTGCCCCTGCTGCCCCTGCTGCCCCTGCTGCCCCTGCTGCCTCTGATGCCCCTGCTGTTGCTGCTGCTTCATTTCACTCAGACGAAGCCGGCCAGAGCGACTGTCAGCTGTTAAAGAGTATGGCGCGCACTGGCCAAACCTCTCCGGAAAAAAAGGAGCCAAAAAAGAAGAAGAAAAAAAAACGCGAAAAAAGGGGGGGGGGAAGGTGCTGCGCGAGGGAAAACCGCCAAGATTGAGTGGTTCAGTAAGCACCGCCCTTTTTAAGTCGACTCAAAAAGCGATCAGCTTGCCATAGCCGGATCAACGTACGATTCTTCAGATGCCTAATGAACGGAGCGCTGTGAACGAGCTTGGGCAGGTCGAGACGGCAAAAAAAAAAAAAAAAAACCAAGTATGACCAAGATAGCCTCAAAAGCAGCAGGGGTGGCTAAGCAGCACTGTGAACCAGCTTGGGCAGGTCGAGACGGCGGAAGCGGATGGCAAAGTGCACGTCCTGCCAGAGGAAGGTGATGCGGGCGGCAGAGTCCACTAGCAGACAACCGTTCACCCACTGCGGGCGGCGGAAGTTGTAGTCTGCCACCCGGCCTTGGCCCTGGCACCTGTTGGTTCGTGGATGGCGGATGGGAAGAGGATCAGGAGGAGTGGAGTGTGGTGTGAGTAGGTGAGGTGAGAATCAAGAATAGGCAAGCATGAAGGAACTATACATATCTAAGAAAGGTACTTAGGCACAAAGTGGTAGCATTCGGCATTAACTTACCAAACATGTTAAAACACATTAAGGGGACAGTACGACAAAGCAGTGAAGAAGAACTCACATCCAGACGAATTGCACCTCCGTGCCGTCATCTGCCCCCGCATCATGATCCGTGTGCATCACAGCACGGGCCAGAGTCGTCGCTCTCTGCCACCTCTCTCCCATCTCCCTCCGCACCTCCTCTGCTCGCTCCCTCTCCCTCTCTGCTGCCCTATCCACGTCACCACCATCACAGTCACCATCATCACAGGCATCATTATCCCCCATTGCAGTATCACTCCCATTTGTATCACTGCTTCCTCCCCCTCTGCTGCTGCCCGCGCCCGTGTTGCTGCCACTGCCAGCAGAGTCATCACCAGCATTGGTGGGACGGGGGATGACGATGCTGCGAGTGGGAGTGAGCGGCACAGGCATTCCCCCGGGCCCACGGGGCAGGAGGCCGTCTGTGGGTGGGAGGTCTGATGGGTCAGGCGGGCCTTGGGCTGTGGTGAGGCGGGCTTTGAAGGTCACTTGGCCGCAGGGCACGTTCGGATCGCCTGCAGGGAAGGAAGGGGGAACAAGCGGGTCCGAAAGGGTCAGCAGGGGTACAGGCATTCCCCCGGGCCCACGGGGCAGGAGGAAGTCGGCAGGAGGAAGGTCTGATGGGTCGGGCGGGCCTTGGGCTGTGGTGAGGCGGGCTTTAAAGGTCACTTGGCCGCAGGGCACGTTGGGGTCGCCTGGGAGGGAGATGGGAAAGAAATGGAAGGGAAACAAGGGGAAGCAAGGGGCTTATCACCACCGTTGGTGGGACGAGGGGGATGACGATGCTACAGGTGGGAGTGAGCGACACAGGCATTCCCCCGGGCCCACGGGGCAGGAGGAAGTCGGCAGGAGGAAGATCTGATGGGTCAGATGGGCCTTGGGCTGTGGTGAGGCGGGCTTTAAAGGTCACTTGCCCGCAAGGCACGTTGGGATCGCCTGGAAGGGAAAGAAGGGCAACAAAGGGGACAATAGACTTATCCAGCGGGTCAGCACGCGCTCCCCCGGGCCCACGGGGCAGGAGGCTGTCGGCGGGAGGAAGATCTGATGGGTCGGGTGGGCCTTGGGCTGTGGCGAGGCGGGCCTCGAAGGTCACTTGGCCGCACGGCACATTGGGATCGCCTGTGTGGGAGAGGGGGTAGGGGGAGGAATGAGTGAGGAGGGATGGCAAAAGGGCCTTGGGCTGTGGTGAGGCGGGCTTTGAAGGTCACTTGGCCACACGGCACATTGGGCTCGCCTGTGATGGACAGGGGAGGGGTGGGGGGGGAGGGGGGGGGGGGGAGTGAGTGAGGGGGGATGACGAAGGGGTCTCGTACACTGGGAGGTGGCGAGGCGGGCTTTAGAGATCACTTGGCCGCAGGGCACACTGGGATCGCCTTTGATAGAAGGGGAAAGAACGAACAGACTCAGCACAAAACTCTTGAGGCGCCTCAAAAGGTGGCGAGGTGGGCTTTAAAGGTCAATTGCCCGCAGGGCACACTGGGATCGCCTTTGATAGAAGGGGAAAGAACGGACATGTGATCAACATGTGATCAACATGTGATCAACATGTGATCTAACATCCATCCTACATGTGATCTTACTGGCGAATACCTCTCCCCCTGTACAAGCACATTCAGAATCTTTACCCGTTACAAGCACACCCGAAGGCACCTCCTCTGCTGCACCTGCACCTCCCATTCCCCCCCTTCCCCCCCTCCAGCGTACCTGTGATCTTAGTCGCGACGATCTCTCCCCCCTGTACAAGCACGTTCAGAATCTCCACACCATGGGGCCCATACTCGCCCGTCCACAGCCCCTCCAACCCATACGCCCATGCAGGCACCTCCTCTGCTGCACCCCCCGTTCCCCCTCCTCCTTTGCCCTCTACCCCCTTCCTTCCTTCTCCTCTGCTCTCTTCCCCGCGCTCCTCCGCGCACCCATCTCCATCCATCATCCACCCTTCATGCCCCTCCATTCCCTCGCCTCCTCCCTCCGCCCCTAGAACTTCCTCCTTCATGCCATCCGCCTCCATCCCACCCGCGCCTATATTTGCGCCAGTACCCACTCCGTCAAAGCTCCCCCCGGCCCCATCCCCCCCTCCCTGCACCCCCGCGCGCACGTCACCCGCCCGCCTCTTCCCCGCCCCTCTCCGCCTCTCCCGCTCCTTGTCTCCACGGGTCAAGGGCACCCGGCTGTAGCTTGACTTTGGCACAGGCAGCCGTCTCACCTGCCCACTCACCTCATCCACCATCCCCCCATCCCCTCCGCGCTTCCACCCTCCCCCGAACCCCCCTCCCTCGAATCCGCCTCCCTGGAACCCTCCCCCTCCCCCTCCCCCTGCTCCGCCAATCCAGGACCACCCATGGCCCCCGGAACTACCTGCCCCAGTTCCGCCACCGCCAGTTCCGCCACCGCCAGTTCCGCCTGCGCCAGCTCCGCCCGCCCCAGTTCCGCCAGCGCCAGCGGAGCTGCTGCTGCTGCTACCGCCTGGGCCCTGACTGCTGCTGCTGCCCCCGCCGTTGCCACTGCCGGATGCTAGCCCTTCTGCCACCAGAAACGCGCTCGGGAGCCTCGGCTGCTGCTGCTGCTGCTGCAACGGCTGCTGTTCCTGCTGCTGTAACGGCTGCTGCAACGGTTGCAGTGACGGCAGATGCCCGAATAGCTGTGCTCGGGACCCACCAGTCCCCACTCCTGCAAGTGCATCCGCCATCCCACCACCACCCCTCCCTCCCTCACTCCCACCCTCCCTCCCATGCTCCCTCCCTCCCCTACTAGCATTGCTATTACCGCCCGCGTTGCCCCTAGCTGCATTGCCGCGGCCCAGCCCTCTGCCTGCCCCTGCTATTCCCGACAAGTACTGCAGGGCTCGCATCTGTAGCCCTCTTCCGGCGCCGCCACCAGCAGCAGCCACCGGGGGCGCAGCAGGAGCAGCAATTGCAGCCGCAAGGGCAGCAGGAGTAGCAGCAGCACCAGCTGCAGCAGCAACACGAGCAGCAGCAGGAGCAGCGAGACTGGCAGGAGCAACAGGAGCAGCAGCAAGAACAGCAGGAGCAGCAGGAACAGCAGGAGCAGCAGGAGGAGCAGCAGCAGCATTGGGAGCAGCAGCAGCAGCAGCAGCAGCAGCAGCAGCAGCAGCAGCAGCAGCAGGAGCAGCAGCAGCATTGGGAGCAACAGCAGCAGCAGCAGCAGCAGTCCATCCTGCTGAAGCTTCCCTGAAGCCAGGGCGCTCCCGAGCCTCCGCTCCCAGCCACATGGATCGCGACACCTGGCGGCCCAACAGAGCATCTCCAACCTCCTGCTGCCGCCGCTGCTCCTCTTGCCGCTGCTGCTGCTCCCCATTATCGGCTGCTCCCGTTGCATTTCCAGCAGCAGCAACATTGGCACTCCCAGCAGCAGCAGCAGCAGCAGCAGCAGCTCCGGCGAGCGTGCTGCTGGTATTGGAAGGGGCGTTTACCATGTAGCGCGCCAGCAGGGGATTCAACCGCGCCGCAGCAGCAGGGGAAACAGGCGGAGCAGCAGCAGCAGCAGCAGCAGCAGCAGCAGCGGAAGCAGCAGCAGCAGGAGAAGCAGCAGGAGAAGCAGCAGGAGGAGGAGGAGGAGCAGCGGCAGCAGAAGACGAGGGCGCGGGCGCAGGGGAAGAGAAGGCAGCATTCGGTGCAGCAAGGCGAGCAGACGATCCAAACAAACCAGCCGCATTCCCCCGAGACGCAGGGCGGGCGGCAGGGAGGAGGGTTTGCAGGTGGAACCTCTGGCGCTCGGCCGTCTCCCATACAAGCACACCCGGTAACTCCACAGTGTGCTGCTCCTCCAACCCGCGCCCGGCTAGGAGGCGCAGCTGCGTTGTTCCGTCTGGGAGGGCTGAGATGAGGAAGAGACGCGCACAGAGCAGAGACCCGTCTGGTGGTGAGAGAGGGGAAAGGGGATGGGAGAGGGGGGAAGGGAAAAGAAACAGGCGAGTTGAATTGAACTACCCCGAGACGCAGGGCGGGCGGCAGGGAGGAGGGTTTGCAGGTGGAACCTCTGGCGCTCGGCCGTCTCCCATACAAGCACACCCGGTAACTCCACAGTGTGCTGCTCCTCCAACCCGCGCCCGGCTAGGAGGCGCAGCTGCGTTGTTCCGTCTGGGAGGGCTGAGATGAGGAAGAGACGCGCACAGAGCAGAGACCCGTCTGGTGGTGAGAGAGGGGAAAGGGGATGGGAGAGGGGGGAAGGGAAAAGAAACAGGCGAGTTGAATTGAACTACCCCGAGACGCAGGGCGGGCGGCAGGGAGGAGGGTTTGCAGGTGGAACCTCTGTCTTTCAGCTGTCTCCCATACAAGCACACCCGGTAACTCCACAGTGTGCTGCTCCTCCAACCCGCGCCCGGCTAGGAGGCGCAGCTGCGTGGTTCCGTCGGGGAGGGCTGAGATGAGGAAGAGACGCGCACAGAGCAGAGACCCGTCTGGATGGTAAGAGCGAGCGGGGGGAGGGAGGGCATGGGGGGGGGGGGAGGGGGAGGAGAGGGGGGGGGGGAGGGGGGGGGGTGGGGGGCGGGTGAGGAAGATTAGCAGCTAAAATGCAATTTGAGGAGAATCAGAAAGCGCAGCTGTGTCGTTCCGTCAGGGAGGGCTGAGATGAGGACGAGAGGCGCGCAGAGCAGAGACTCGTCTGGAGGTAAGGGGGGAGGGGAGCACATGAGGAAGATTAGTTGGAAAGGAAGATGGGTTTTGACGCGCCTCAGAAAATGCAGCTTCGTGGTTTTGTCGGGGATGGCTCTAGAGAGGAAGAGAGGCGCGCAGAGCAGAGAGCCATCTGGGGGCGAGAGGGGGAGCGGGCGAAGAAAATCTGCCAACTGTCAATTTAATTTGGAAGATGGAAGACATAATTGAGAATTCCAAACAAAAAAGAGGAGGGGGGGGGGGGGGGAGAGGAGGGGAGGGAATAAGGAAGATGGAGAGAGTTCCTTCCCAGGAACATTTTTTTTGAATTTTTAAAGAAAATGTGGGCAGTGAGGAAGACAAAAAAGGTTCCCATGTTTGATGAATGATTTCTAATGTTACTGTAGAATGTTTCTTCAAAAAACTTACCAAGCCAGTCAGGAATGATGCGATAAGCGACCATGGACATCTTTTCCTGATAGAACGAGCAGAAACGGAAGAGAGAAGGGGAGCAGAGCAGATATGGGTTAGAAAGCAGACTGAATCACGGAACCGCGCGTTGAGCTGCGAAGAAGCGAACGTGGTGAATGATGCGGTGACGCGACGCAGGCGTTCATGTTGACACGACGTGCTTCAAACGCGGACAAGCCAGCGCGTCGCCACGGTTACGGAAGGCCTAATAGTCATGTTTTGACCTCGTGCTACAGAAACGCAACAATCAACCTTCGAAACTAACAAACAAACGCAATGCAGCAGCGATGGCAGGAAGAGAAATAGTAATAATAGGAATGAAGTGTTCTCACCCAACTAGCAAACAGCAGACCGCCACGTGGAGCCAAGTCATCAGCAGCCCAGACTCCAGCCAATGGATCGAGAGCTTTCAAGAGACGGAAGAGGCATTTCGGGGAACTCGTCTCGACGAGCCAATCTGAAATCGCCACGTCGGATTCCCACTGCTTGCACAGATTCAGCCAGACTTGGGGCCGATTAGCTAATGAGCGCAGCGTGCGACACGTGGCAGCGGCAGATAGTAGATCCTGATACTCTAACTCGTGAAGAATCTGAACAATCACATCCGTTGGTAAGAGTAGAAGGTCCATTTCTTTCCTCGCTATAATTTCCTCGAGATCGTAAGTCGACGGGTGAAGATAGGAGGGTTGTCAATTGCTGGAAATTGTTGTCAATTGTCGATTGATAATCGTCGATGGATGCTACTCGGCCTGACACGTTAGCAGGGAGAACGAGCGGAAATCGCGCTGCAATTACGGAGGCATTAACCCTAAACACCCAGGAACTGTACATTTCTCGAGTCGGCGCAAGCAGCAGCTTGGGAACGAAGCGGTTCGCACAGCATCTCACTCGTTCTTGAGCAAATGCTACTCATGACAACATTCCCCTCTAATAGAAGCTACTCTAACAGGAGCTACTCACTAGCGTTGACAACACGACGCAAGAACGTGAAACCCCGAATCAGGCTGTGAATTTACTTCCACACTTCACCTCACCCCACCCCATGTGCGCCTACAGTCTAGCCAATCATCTAATCAACGACAGTAAAACCTACGTCCTTCATTGGCTGAACTCACACGCTCGAGGCGGAACGAAACGAAACGAAACGAAACGAGAGGGAGTGAAAGTGAACGGATCAGATCAGGGAGGAAAATGATGTAGGGAAAGGGAGGAGGAAAGGACGGAAGTGAAGTCTCGAAACGGCAAGCAAGGGCAGCCGTCCGTTAGCTTGTGGGGATCTAACTACGTGGGCCCAATCGAGTTTGATGGCGACTGATCTGATCGGGTCGGATCTGATCGGGTTGCTTGTGATCGCGGTACCCGAGCCGCGCGATCAGAAATGTTTCTCGAAGAGTTCATCAACGGCTGCTCAGCAAGTGCGATATATTTACCTAGCAGTTTCGTCCCCATTATAGCGAGATTGACGACCAGAAGTCACCTGGCGAAAATATTCGTTTCACAGTAAGCGCAACGTTGTAACTACTCGCAAGCAGCGCTGTGGGCCCCGATCACATGCAATCAAGTGATCGCCTGTGATCGAGGAAAATTGGCTCTGACCGGGGTGAAAATCGGGTCTGATCGAGTTGGGGCGATCAGTTGATCACGATCAGCTGATTGCCCCCGATTGCCTGAAATTGGATTCCAGGCTTCCTGGAAGTTCTTTACCGCGTGTGATTGAGGCGATCAGACTCGATTGGGCCCACGTCCTAAGGTGTAATCTCATTCAATCTGCTCTGTCACCGACTTTTATATTTCTTCGGATCCATCCCACAACAGTGGACCTTCATTTTTCTGTCAGTCATCTTGTGAACAGCAAGTCAAGCCCAAATAGAGAATATTAACGCAGTGTACCATAACGTATTGGTCCCATTCTAAGTTTCGGTCAGAACAGACACACCCACGATTCTTTTCTATCAATCCACACCACCCATTTCAGGTCAGGACCGTCTGGAGGCGAACTATGTGAGCCACCACTACCACCCGCTTCCCCCTTGCCAAACTGTTCACTGGCCAAAAGGAAGAACAAACCCAACTGGATCATGGACGGTGGCATGTCGAGCCACGAGTTTTGGCTCGAGTGATAGGCTCGGCTAGCGCCGATAATCCTGACCGTGTATTCCAAGCATGGATGCTCATTGCTTCAAAAAGCGGGAAGGTGCACCGTTAAAGGCAAGTCAACACGGCAGTCACAAAAGTGTATCATAAGTTTAGGTTTACTACCTAATGAACACACATTTGTTTACCTACTTCTAATAACACCACCTTGCAATGCACTAATACATGCATGACGTATGGCGGCAGCACGAGCCCACATAGACAGCAACTAAACAAGCGCTTGCATTAAAATCTTCTTCTCCAGTCTTTCCCTCTCCACAATGTGTGTGTAAAGCAACTCATTCCACGTGTCAGGAACTCCAGGTAAGCACCAATGCATGCAGTCTTGTTGTCTCTTGGGCTTATTGAATTGTGCGTCCCATTTGGCTGGGTGTGCATCACCACGGTAGGCCGACAGGTGCGTGATGTTCAAAAGGCGTACTGATGTTCCCAACACTCCATCCTCCTTTTCAGCGTCCCTTGTTGTCATGTTGGCAACATCAATGTCCCCAAACGGATGCTGCCATGCAAGAATAAAAAAAATGGGGAAAAAACAAAACAGCAAATGGAGTGAGGTAGCACATGGAGTGTTACATAAGTTAGCATGTGCATACAAAACAAATCTAGGAAAGTTAGCCTGTACACTATCTCTACGTACCTTGACATGGTCGCATCGTCCTCTCGAGTTCCACTCCCCCTCCATGAAATGCCTCGGCGAAATCGATCGCAGAAACACCATCGGCTTCGTTTCCAAAGCTGGAAGCGTTACAGGCGAAAGCGTCACAGCTGAACTCAGAATTCCCCTCTTTCCCACCCCTGTTCCCTCTCCCCACCCTCCCTTCACCTGCAAACGTCCCTTGCCCATCCCCTTCAGTTGGTCATCAATCCACACAGACACCGACTGTATCGCCGTCCGCAACGCCAACGACACGGCCATCGGCCGACTTTCCACAGGCGGCGCTACGCTCCCATTCAGGAAGAAATGCAGGCCTTTCTCTATCATCTCATCCTCGTTCCAGTGATGTCCCGTGCTCAGAACCACCACATCCAGCTCCTTAAGAAAGTCTCTTAAGAAAGTGTCCGGTCGGTCTAAGTGCATCGCACGGCCCAGCTTCCAGTCCCCCTTAAACGGCTTGATTCTACACAAGTAAGGCGTCCAGCGGAAAATCACTGTAGTGTTTGACGAAAGAAAACTGTACGCCAGCCCGGTTGGGCGGCGGTCCTCGGGCAGCTGAAAAAAACCATAGTTTGTGCCCACGTCTTGGACGGGGGAAGAGGGGTCAGACATGTTTTGGGGCGGACCTTCAGGGGAGAGCATGCAGAGCAGCGGCTGGAACTGCTGCTGGCTTAGCGAGTCCCCCACAAAGGCAATGCTCTTGTTGCGCATCCTGCAAGGAAAGGGGGAAGGAGTTCAGGATGGGGAAGGGGAGTGAATGGGGAGAAGGAGGCAATTGCCGCTGGCCTAGAGAGTCCCCCACAAAGGCAATGTGTGTGTCGCGCATTCTGAGAGGGTGGAAATGAAGGAGGAGAGGGAAAACCGTTTAGGTTAAGATCTCCAGGCAGATCAGCAACTGAAACTGCTGCTGGTCTAACGAGCCCCCCTGAAAGGCAATGAGATTGTTGTTGCGTGTATGAAGAAGTGTTTTGAGACGTCTCAAAACACTTCTTCATAGACGTGGCTAACGAGCCCCCCTGAAAGGCAATGAGATTTTTGTTGCGGATCCTGACAGGAAAGGAAGGTGAGGGGGAGGGGGGGGGAGAAGGGGGAGTGCATGGGGCGGAGCAGAGGGGAGCAGAGGAGGGGATCAGAGGGGAGCAGAGGAAGGGAGCACAGGAGAGGAGCACATGAGGGAAAAACAGAGGAGGGGAGCAGAGGAGGGGAGCAGAGGAGGGGAGCAGAGGAAAGGAGCAGAGAAGGGGAGCAGAGGAGGGGAGCAGAGGAAAGGAGCAGAGAAGGGGAGCAGAGGAGGGGAGCAGGAGGAAGGAATGTGGAGGTGAGTTGAGCCCTATCATTCACAGTCCTTCTTCTCTCCTTGGCTTGTTGGCATGTCAGAGCAGGGGGAGCAGGTGAAGCAGAGGGGGCAGGTGAAGCAGAGGGAGCAGGTGAAGCAGAGGGGGCAGGTGAAGCAGAGGGAGCAGCAAAAACAGAGGGTGTAAAACTTGGGCGCCCAGGTCTCTGAAACAGCTGTGTGTTGCACCCCTTAAAATGGCAACAACTATTTCCAGCAATTATTGGGGCGGAGGAAAGGGGGAAGGGGCAGTGCATAGAAACTGTAGATGGCCCAAGCAGTTGGGCGACTCACGAATCTCTCTCACTCAGGGGCAGTGCATGGAAACCTCCATTCCCTTCCCATTCCCTCTCACCTGACGCTATGTGTTGAACCGCTTCATGTTGCCCCCATTGGTTTGTCAAGTCGCTACACATTCTTCCATTGCGTCCGTGGCGCACCTCGAAAATTGCCCTCATGCGATTTTCAAGCCATCACAGACAACTCCGAGGGAAATACTTCACACCGAACTCTACCTAACCCCAATCCAACCAACCCCTCTCAACTCCTACAGAACCGACTCCCTCACCTCTGGAAAAACAAAATTGATGCTCATGCTTGTGCGGATGAACACCGCAACCCTGCCCGATTCCATTTCCCCTCACCTCCCGCGAAACTCAAACCCTCACCTCCTGAAGAACCATTCCGCGTTGAATCTCTCCGCGTTGCACCCGCATGGATGCCATCACGCAGCACAGGCGCTCGTATTTGCCCTCTGAGACACAAAAACTCTACCATCCCCAACTCTACCATCGCCAACTCTACCGTCCCCAACTCTGCCATCCCCAAATCTACCCCCATTCCTCCTCACCTCCTAAAGAACCCTTCCGCGCTGAAGCTCTCCGCGTTGCACCCGCGCGGCTGCCAGCGCAGGCGCTCGTACGCGCGCATCTCGCGCGGGCGGTTGCTGCGCGCGCACGCCCAGTTGAGCGATATCCACCGCCCGTGGTACAGGTCGCACAGCGGGGCGGCGGGGACAACGGGGACGGCGGGGGCGGCGGAGACGGAAAGGGCGGTGGGGACCACAGGGACGGCAGGGGCACTAGTAAAACTAGCCGTATTACTGTCAACACTATCACCCCCACTACCGCTGCTGTCAGTACCGCTCGCGTCCCCGCTGCTTGAATCACCACCTTCGCTTCCTTCAGATTCTGACATATGCAAACTAGATACCCCTTTTCTCGAACCGACACTAGTTAGTAGCAGTACCGCGTCAGCTGTTAGAGGAGACGGAGTCGACTGCACCTGTCCGGCTTGGCTAGTGCGATCCGATTCTTGGCTATTCGGGAAGACTTTGTGATTGTATGCGGAAGAATTGTGACTATGAGAGGACGAGTTGTGACTGTAAGAGGATGAGGAGACGGATGTGCTGTACAGAATTGCGAATTCGCTTTGCCTCCACCCTGTGATGAGGAGGGCGAGGCATGGGGGATGAAGGAAGGGACGGGGGAGAGGAAGGACGGATAAGGAGGAAGCAGAGGGATAAGGGAGGGGGGTGAGGAAGACTGAAGATGAGGGAGACGGATGGGAGAGAGAGAGAGAGAGAGTTGAGAGAGAGGGATGAGGTATGAGGGTTGAAAGAAGGGGATAAGGAGAGGGATGATGGAGCGGAAGGGGTGGAGGGAGAGGGATGGGGAAGAGGGACGGGAGAGAGGCGGGAGAGGGAGGAGAGATAAGGAAGAAGCAGAGGGATGGGGAAGAGAGGTGAGGGGAAGGAAATGTAAGGAGGAAGGCATGGGGGAGAGGGGGAAAGGAAGGAAAGGTAAGGAGGAAGCAGAGGAATGGGGGGATGGATGAGGGAGAGGAAGGAAGGAGTCGGATGAGAGGGGGATGAAGAAGAGGGACGAGGGAGAGGGACGACAATTGAGGATAGGGAGAGGGAGAAAAGGGAGGGCTGAGTGGGATGGAAGCCGCATGTGTGGAGGGGAAGTAAAGGCGAGCGAAAGGAAATGGGCGCGCGTGGGAGGGAGGCGGAAGCAGAGGCGGAAGCAGAGGCGGGAGCAGAGGCGGAAGCAGAGGCGGAAGCAAGCAGAGGCGGAAGCAGAGGCGGAAGCAAGCAGAGGCGGAAGCAGAGGCGGAAGCAAGCAGAGGCGGAAGCAGAGGCGGAAGCAGAGGTGGTCGAAAGAGAGTGGGCGTGAAGGTAGGGAGTAAGGAGGACGGTACGAGACGGCGGGTGAAAGCGGAGAAACTCACACTGTGAGAAACGAATCCCATTGCCGGCGTGAAACAAATCCCACGTCACGAAGGCCAGTGTCATTAAAAGCACCAGCTGCGCCGCCGAAGATGCCGCGTGCAACCGAGCTCTTCCGAGGAGTCCGCAAATCCCGGCGCCGCCTGCCTTCCCACCGCCCATGGCCGCCGCCACTGAGCGAGATCGGGATCGGTTGGGAGGGGTGCTGAGAGGTGAGGCGCTGGGAACATTCCCTCCTAGTAGGGAGAATGCATTACATGGAACAAGCGAAAATGGCCGAGGAGGATAAGCCGCGATAAATTTTTGGTGTTTACTCGGAAATGAGGAATGGTCGACGACACTCGAGCGAGAAAGATTTTGAGTTCAACTGAAAGATGACTCATGGAAAAGCAAAGAATTCAAAGCTGCCAGCTTTCCAGTGGGAATGAGGCGCAGGAGAATGAAAAGCAGGGAATGAAAAGGCGTCCGCGAATGAACGAGTCTATGATCGAGGCGCGCAACTAGGGGCGTGCCTGAATGACATTTTTGCGACCGTGCCTGACGGCCGTCGCGTGTGCGACTCGAACCTGACGGTCGTCCAGTGTATGCTGGTGAACGTACGTGACGGCCGTCGCGTGTGCGCAACCTCGATAGGAGCTGACACCGCCGAAACTGATAGTAGAGCCGACGGTCGCGGTCGCGCCGACGAGGCAGCCTCCATCTTCCGGCCGCCTGAAATGACCAGTATGATTTGTTCTCGACCTGCCAGTTGTTCTGCCGTAGGCAATTGAGTTTGTTCTCGACCTGTAAATGGCAACTAAGAATTCGCTCGTGACAACGAGGCTGCTATCACTGGTGGTGAATATCAGTTCACCCATTTTACGTATTCCGCCAGATAAAACCGTGCTGTGCTCGACGGATTCTGTCTAGGTCCCTGGAAGTCACACATAGAACTGCCAGTGCCGTCTGCAGGCTGCGCAGGAACTGAAATGGCGATTATAGCGACATGAGATGGCAGCCGGCGCGACACGAGCCGGCTTGTTCACGTTCACGAACTTCGCCATGGGAATACACGCCGGCGTCAAAACAACGATCTCTCGCTCATCTCGCCAACAGTTAGCCCCCCCCCAGCCAGCGTTGGGCTTAGCACTTTCGGCTGTCCGTGGTGCTGACAGTTCGGCAGCATGGAAAACCTGGCTGCGCGAGAAAGCTGACAGAGTCCGAGCCGCAGACTCTGACAGGCACCAGAGCGCCCAGCGCAGAAGGGTGGAATCTGTCGCCGCGCGAATCATATTCGCGAACTTCCAGAACGCAGTACTTCCGATATGAGCTCAGATTCAGCGCATTTATGTGGAACTTGTAACGGGAGAACAACTTTTACATAAAAAACACCAACGATGTCCGCTGTTTATATTACACGCATAGTTGCAATTTCTGTTGCAATATGGAGTTCAAAATTTGCTACTTGCCTGTCTTCATGTTACAGAACGCGCAGCTTTGCTTATACAGACTTCAGGGACCGTATGTTGTGCGTTTGAGGAATGAAGAAAATTAATCACTAGCCCTATTTATTAATGGATACACATTTTTTACTTTCTTCTATCCCAAATAGCTACCGTATCATCATGCACAAAATCACGCATAAATGCATGTGGTTCTCAAAAAACAATTGCACATGGCACCCATGTTCTACTCCTCCTATCCTTCCTTTGCCACGATATGAGTGTAAACCAGCTCATTCCACGTGTCAGGAACGCCCGGTAAGCACCAATGCAGTCAATCCTGTCCCTTGGCAGCAGCGTATCGAGGATCCCAGCCAGCTGGGTGTGCATCACCACGGTAAGCCGACAAGTTCGTGATGTTCAAAAGGTGTACTGATGTTCCAAGCACTGCATCCTCCTTAATAGCATCCCTGGTTGTCATATTGGCCACCTCAGCATCCCCAAACGGGTACTGCCATGCAGGGAAAAGATACAAAACGGGAAAAAGAAAAGCACAGAAAATATCACAAAGTGCACAATCCTACAGTATGAGATACCATATTGAGTGCTGCAGAAGTTAGCATGAGCACATGGAATGATAAATACAATAATCTTACAGAAGTTAGCCTTTACACTGTATAATTACGTACCTTGATTTGGGCACACCCGCCTGTGCCGTTCTTATCCCCCTTGGAATGCCGCGGCGAAATCGATCGCAGAAACACCATTGGCTTTGTGTCAGGCGTCCCAAAAATCGCCGTCGCCAGCTTCGCACCCCCACCTGTCGCCAAGCCCGGAAGCGTCGCACCCGAACCCACCGTCTGCTTCAGCTGAGCATCAATCCACACACTCAGAGACCGAACCGCCGTCTTCAGCGCAAGCCACATGACCATCGGCCTTCAGTTCACGGGCGGCGCCACGGTTCCATTGATATAAAACTTGAGCGCGTTCTGATTCATCTCCACCCGGTCCCAGTGATGCCCCGTGTTCAGCACCACCACATCCAGCTTCTTAAGATAGCCTCTTAGGAAAGTGTCGGGCCGGTCTAAGTGCAGCGCCTTGTCCTGCGTCCCGTTATTGAGCGGCTCGATTTCGCATAAGGTCGTCGACCAGCGGAAAATCACTGTAGTGTTGGACTTAACGAATCTGTACGCTCTATCAGGCCGGTGGCTGTCTTGGGGCGTCGGGAGAAGGCCGTAATCCTTACGTGCGTCTTGGATGGGGGATGCGGGGTCGGACATGTTTTTGGGCGGGCCTTCAGGGGCGAGCATGCAGAGCAGCGACTGGAATGGTTCCTGGCCCAACGAGTCGCCCACAAAGGCAATGCTCTTGTTGCGCATTCTGATGGGAGAAAGAGAGGAAGGGGGGGGGAGGGAGGGGGGGTATAAGGAAGCAGGAAGTGGGTAGATGAGTAACTGGGGATGAAGCAAAGGCAGGTGGGGGGGTAGGACGGGGGAAGAGGAAGGGGGAGTGTAGCTGGCCTGCGTTGTCACCCACACGAATAACTCAATCCCTACACCTCTCACCTCCCTTAGGAAAGAACACCTCTGTAGCCCGTGCTTATGCGCTTGAACACACCTCAAACCACCGTTCTTGCGAGCTTGGGGTGACCCCAGCTCTGCCCCCATTCCATCCCTCCCACCACCCACGAAACCCAGACCCTCACCTGCTGAAGAACCCCTCGGCGCTGAAGCGCGTCACATTGCACCCGGTGGGCTGCCAGCGCAGGCGCTCGTACTGGCGCATGTCGAGCGGGCGGTTGCTGCGCGCGCACGCAAAGCTGGTGGAAATCCACCCGCACCTCTCCCCCGAGTAATACGCCGGCTGCTGCGTCTGCACCCACTGCCCGTGGTACAGGTCGCACTGAGGGCCCGGGGCGGCGGCAGGGAAGGCGAGGAGTCCCCGCCGAACACTGGCGTTCCCTGTAATGAGGACGGCGAGGGATGGGGGAGAGGGATGGGGGAGGGGGATGGGGGAAAGCGATGGGGGAGAAGGATGGGGGAGAGGGATGGGGGAGAGGGCTGCACCCACTGCCCGTGGTACAGGTCGCACAGGGGGCCCGGGGCGGCGGTAGGGAAGGCGAGGAGTCCCCGCCGAACACTGGCGTTCCCTGTAATGAGGACGGCGAGGGATGGGGGAGAGGGATGGGGGAGGGGGATGGGGGAAAGCGATGGGGGAGAAGGATGGGGGAGAGGGATGGGGGAGAGGGCTGCACCCACTGCCCGTGGTACAGGTCGCACAGGGGGCCCGGGCTGGCGGCAGGCAAGGCGAGAAATGCCCGCCGGACATTTCTAATACCGGCGTTCACTATAATGAGGATGGCAAGGGATGGGGGAGAGGGACGAGGGTGAGGGAAGAGGGAGAGGAAGAAAAGATAAGTACAAGCCATAAGGATAGCTGAGAAAGGTGAGGGAATGGGGGAGTGGGACAGGGAGGGGAAAAAAGGAGCAGAGGGAAAGGGAAGGGGGATGGGGGAGGCGGAAGGATGAGGGAGAGGGATGAGGCATGAGGGGTAAGGTGGGGTTGAGGGAGAGGGAGGAAGGAGGGGGAAGCGATGTGCGTGTAGGGAGAGGATCAGAGGCGAGCGAATACATACTTACGGCTAAAAAAAAAACTCACAATCCGTCTTAAGGCTGGCGTGAATCAAATCCCGCGTCGCAGCAAAGCCCAGTATCGCTAGAAGCACCAGCGCCGCCGAAAAGGTCGCACGCCACTGAGCTCCTCCGCAAATCCCGACGTCCGTGGCTGCCGCGAGAGCCGCGAGGGAGCGAGATTTCGAAGGGGTGCTGAGAGGTGAGCCGGGAACATCCCCGCTGGCTGCAGCAGCGCGATGCACGGAGCAAGCAGAAATGGGCGATCATGAGGATACGAAGTGAAGATGCTTTTGAGTCGTCGCAGGAATCAGGAATGGATTTTGAGGATGCGGAGCGAGGAGCAGGGATTTCCAGTATAGTAGAAAGGCTTCCACCAATGAACGAGGAAGACAAGATAATTGAATCGAGCGCACTACCGTACCTGAATCACACTGTGCGACCGTACCTGACGGCAGAGGCGTTTGCAACCGTACTTGACGGCAGTCGAGTGTGCGACTGTACCCGACGGCAGTCGCATGTGCGATCGTACCTGACGGCAGTCGCGTTTGCGCCGACGAGCCCGAGGGTGCCTCCACAGTGACCTTCTCCGACGTTAGCGCCGACGTTGGCGCCAACGTTGGCGCCGACGATTGCGCCGACGATTGCGCCGACGAGCCTGAGCCCGAGGGTGCCTCCGTCTCACCCATGATCTTCTCCGAGAAGTTCTATGAGTCGTCGCCTGAAGCGAAAACGGGTGACGTCGTCGCCTGAAGCGAAAACGGGTGACGTCGTCGCCTGAAGCGACAACGGGTGACGGCGTCGCCTGAAGCGACAACGGGTGACGTCGTCGCCTGAAGCGACAACGGGTGACGGCGTCGCCTGAAGCGACAACGGTGTGACTTTTGAGTCGACTCAAAAGTCACTCCGAGAAGGATGAGCGTCGCCTGAGCGACACGGTGTGAGCTTGCTCTGAACTGCAGTCGGCAAATGAGTGTGTTTTGGAGCAGCTGTTTGCTTTTCAAGAGTTTGCTCGTGACTCCGACGAGCCTGCTCGTGGTCACCATCGGCTCTCCCATTCTACCGTTTGAAACGTCGTTTCGCTGGGTAAAACCGCAGTGCGCGCGCTGGGTTCCGTATAGGTCCCTGGAAGTCACAGATCTGACTGTACTAGGCTGACCCGTGCCGTCTGAGAATTTCGTAGGAACAAAAAACAAAATCGCGAGTCCAGCAGCTGCACTCCCGAAACGGCAGATCTGCCGTTCCTCGTGGCACTCACGAACTCGTTTCGGGCGGGAAGCCTGGCGATCGCGAAAGTTTCAACTGCATGATGCTGGAAAGAACGGAAGATCGGGAATTGGCGGCGCGACGCACGTGGCCGGCCTTCTGTTCGCGAGAGTTCATCGTGAGTATATTGTCAAGCAACTATTTTGTTCGTCTCATTGCCAGACAGCTGGATTCAGATTCCAGAGTCGGGTTTTGCGCGCTTCGACATTCGCTGGGACGGCATGTGTCCGATGGTGAGATTCACCCATGACATGCCAAATAGCCAATTGGCAGTCGGCTTTGGGAATCCTGGCTGCGCGGGAAAGCCACGACACGGCCCGTGTCGCAGGCTGTGACTGACAAGCACCAGATCAGAGCTTTCACCAGACGCTGGATTTGTCGTCGCGAATCATGTTTCGCGAAATTCCACGAATCATGTGCACGGTATGCTCAGATTCGATGGAACTTGTAAAGAGGATAACACCTTTGTACAAATGTTCTCGATTAGAGTCCCCGTGAAAAACACGCGCGCTGCGGGCCTTTGTGGAAAACTCACAAACCCCGGGCAAAAGGGAACTTATAGTCCCTTACAAGGAAGACTGCATGAAGAGCGATAATCCTTTGCTGCTATTCGTGTTTTTCTGTCACATACGTACATTCGGACTACGCTGTCTCCAACTTCTCGTCGCACGGTTCGCCGCGCTGAACGGTGTCGCGGGCAGACAAATACAAGAAGAATTATGTTTAATGCCGAAATGAAAGTCAACATTTTTTGTTTTACACTGTAAGCGAGACTAATGAGATGGCATCGTCGGAGCTCGCAGGGGAACCGCGCGACAGGATTTAGACGCAAGAGCGGTCAAGATAAACAGACAAAGAAACTGCAAAACGTAAATATTGAATCAAAACCTCCTTTTGTTGTATTTTCCTTGAATGTTCTGACAGGTTCGATTTGCGTCCTCTGATTGGCTGCGGAACTGATTCGTGCAATGATTCAGTCAAGATGCAAGATTTCCCGCCAAAAATGGGACTGTAGAGGAGGGGATACACCTAGGACTTATGTGAAAAATCTACTCGTTGGGGAAATGGGACTCTCTTAGGAAGAGCCTCTAAGCCAGAACATTTGTACACAGAAAACACCACCACCTGCAGCTTTCGTTTCGGCACAGTTTGGAATCTACCCTCCCGTACCGATGCCCGGACGCCAATTCAAATGTGGATGATGAGAAGTAGATTTCTGGGCTGTAAGGACTATTCGGAGAAGTCTAAAGCATAATACAGCATGCTATAACGAATATTCTTCTCCAGACCCATCCCAGATACCTACTTCCCCACAAATCCAGCACCCACCCGCATTCCTCGCGCTGCGATTGTCGTGTTTCCGTCAGATCATCTTGGGCTGGCTTGTCGATCATCCCTCGCGGGCGCATCCTTCACTCGCGCGTCAATCACGCCAGCTCTAGATTCCTATTCCCGCCCATCGTGTTCCCCACTCAGTTTGCCATCACGGCGCATTCGTTGCCTCTCCGATTAGGCGCCAGTCGGCTCCTTATTGGCTCAGCCCTTCATCCCACTGCTGCTTCTTTCACGGCGGCTCTCCTCCTCCCACATAAAACTCTTTTTTACGCTCGGCTGAAATTTTGCCAGAATCAGCGATATCCCAGCGGGACGAGATCGATGGCAGCCACGTCAGACGTACCACCTTCCACGTCAGCCGCGCTAGCGGACACGTCAGCGACGAAGATCAAGTTCGGGCGGTGGGATTTGGACCCCAGAGAGGTGTTCGCTGAAACGAAACTGTCGCTCGCTATAGTCAACTTTAAGCCCGTCGTTAAGGATGAGAAGAATTCGACGAGTTATTGCTGCCATTATGCTAAGACTTCGCTGGGAACGGACGTAGCAAGCGCCTTTGTGTGTGTTCTGTGTTTGTTTTTTCTGTGAAGTATCTGAATGCACCTCATCCACAGATGTTAGCCTGATGGAATGTTGTCTTCCGGGTGGAAACAATATTAGCGTCGGCGACAGACATGCATTCGATCACGCGTGCTGGCGAATTAATCTGAATTGCTTGCTTCCAGCTTCAGACGTTCCCTGAGGCGCCTCCAAACGCCTCTTCCAGTCCAGCTTCATTTGATCGTAAAAACCCGCCAATCTTACCTCCATTCCTGCTGCTACGCTCCGTGTCACGTGCCCGTGCTGCCCCTGCCAGTAGCGGACAGGTGGTGCCCGTGCTGCCCTGGCACGTGGTGCCTCGTTTCCATGACAGGGCTTCCCGCAGCACAAGATGATGAGCAAAAAGTGAGTGGCTTCTGACTCCACTCAAACCACACCTGCTGCTCTCCGTCACCCCTCCGCTACTCCCACTCTTCCCCCACAGGTCACGTGCTCATCACCCCTCGGCGTGTTGTGCCACGCCACGATTCGAGGAACTGGCTCCCGAAAAGGTCACAGACAGACATGTGGTTGCTGAGTGGACTCAACGCCCCCCCTTTTTACTCCTTGTTGCCGCCGTTGCAATACTAATTCGTGCAGGTCACGTGCTCGTGTTGCCTCGGCGTGTGGTGCCACGCTACAAGGACATGACTGCCGAGGAGGTCACAGACATGTGGCTGCTGGCGCAGAAGATTGGTCAAGCCTTTGAACCCCACCATGGATGCACCTCGTCTACGTACACCATCCAGGTGTGATGATAAGTAGGTAGCATGATGCTTACCTGGTGTGGCCAATGTTCAGGTGTGATGATATTAGGTTCGTAGCATGATGCTTACCTGGTGTGTGTGATAATAATAGGTTCGTAGCATGATGCTTACCTGGTGTGTGTGATAATAATAGGTTCATAGCATGATGATCGCCTGGTGTGTGTGATGATAATAAGTTCGTAGCATGATGCTTACGTGGTGTGTGTGATGATAATAGACTGGTAGCATGATGCTCACAGTACTGTGTCACAGACGAACTGATTTCACATTCCTCAGTCAGACATGTGCGCACCCTCAGTCAGACATGTGCGCACCCTCAGTCAGACATGTGCGCACCCTCAGTCAGACATGTGTCATACTCTGAAAAGATGTGTTTTTCTTCGTGAACCCGAAACCTCTATACTCTGAAGCATCTTTTGAAAGTTATACTTTCTTGCATTCTCACCCCTCCCTCTACCTGCCTGTTTGCATACCATAACGGGCCAACAGCACGGCAGACAGTGACGCATGTGCACATCTATTTTTAATTGTCATCTTTACAGTCGCTCTCACCTCCCCCTTCCCCCCATGTCTTCGTCTTGTTCGCATGCAGGGCAGACCGTAGTGCATGTGCACGTGCATGTGCATGTGCATGTGCATGTGCACGTGCATGTGCATGTGCATGTGCACGTGCATGTGCATGTGCATGTGCATGTGCATGGGAGTGCTCTGTGAGCCATCATTCAAGAGTTTCCTTGTCAATTCTCCCGGTGTATCCGTGTCTTTCTCTCCTTCTAAGATGGGCCAGCAGCAGGGCAGACAGTGGCGCATGTTCACGTGCCTTTTGAGTCACTTGAAGCTGTAATCACCCACTCTCACCTCCGCCTTGCCTCTACATCCGTGTATTGCTCTCCTGCCAGGACGGACCAGCAGCAGGGCAGACAGTGGCGCATGTTCACGTGCATGTCATGCCACGGAGGGAAGGGGACTTTGTACCCAATGACAAGATCTACAATGAGGTATGCTCGAGGTGAAACAGCTTTGTTTTGTTCTTATTCTCTTTTGTTTTGATGCGTGTCAATTTACAGTGAGGCGTGCGCTCTTGCCCTTGCGCGGATATGCTTGGCTGAATGCTGTTGTTAGTAAGTGAATTTGAAAAAAGGCCCTCCTTTTACGCTGTAAACGCTACTTCAAGCCAGCAGAGAGATACGCAGTAGTGAAGGTTCGTATGCAGTGTGATACGCTACTGTGAACGCAGTAGTGATACGCTACTGTGTACGCAGTAGTGATATGCTGAGAGATTCTGTAGGTTCACATCAGAGTGTTGGGTCGAATACTGTCGCTACTCCAATGCTCACCGCTCTGTAGGTTAGAAAGAACTTGGAGGCGAATGTGCAAGGGAGGGATGCGATGGGAATTTTGTTCGTTTTCTGTTGGTCTTTTACTGTTTCTATTCCGCTTTTTGATTCACAGCACGGTCTCATTTTTTTAAAGTGTTTGAAGGAGGCAATGAAGCTGCAGATGGGTGTAGACTCTGTAGAGGAGGGGAAGAATGCGGAGACCGCCTTTTCCTTTTTTTGTTTGTGTTTGACTGTCAACTTTGGCAGATTGAGGAGAATGAGGAGGCTAAGAAGCTGAGGATGGACGCTGAGGAGAACCGACCAGCCCGCACCATGGATGACATGGAAGCAGAGGCCAAGGAGTTAAGACGGGTGCTGGAGGAGTTTGAGAAGGGAGAAAAGGGAGAGAGGATGGGTGAAAAGTGATGACGAAGGGAGAGTAGGTCACTTGGCAGGCCAGCCCACACGATGGATGACATGGAAGCAGAGGCCATGGAGCTGAGGAGAGTGCTGGAGAAGTTTGAGAACAAAAGATTAGAGAGGGGGGGGTGAAATGGAAGATTACCGCAAGTGCCTGTGAAATGAAGGCAAGAGTACAGCCTTCTGGTACTATTATTGGCCATTAGTATTGCTTCATTGTTCGAACAATATTGCTTCATTGTCTGACCAAGAACTGGATTCCATTCTCGGTAGAAGTATTTTGTCTTATGGAGTCAAGCGGTAGATTGATGTAGGTTTGCAAGATTTGGAAAGCTTACAGCAATGCTCGGCAGTATGTAAACCCTCTCTACACAATAACTAGCAGTTCTTCTGTAACTTCTTTGTTGCGTACAATTCATCACCGTGTAACCAAACCAATGCACTGTGAGAAATGAAGTTGTTCTACTTCCTGGACTCTGCTAGCCTTGAACTATGTGGCAGCACAAAGAATACAAGGATTGTTACATCTGAGACAGGGCCAAGCACAGAGCGCCATCGCTGACATGTGCTACGCTGTAACACTTGAGAGCAGGGCTGACTATTCAAAAAAATCCAGTCTGATGTTCTGGGGGCTCTGAAAATTTTTAGTCTGAGGCATATTTCCCAGAGAATGGCCACTCTGATTTTTCAGGTTCCGCAAAAACACAAGTCTGAAGTACTCAGAACACACTACAACCACTGCAGTACAGTACTGCCACAAATGTAGCACGTGGGGCGCAACGCTAACCAGTTTCCCTCGCTGACACCGCGTAGCTGCAGTGATGGTCCCGCGTGAGTGGAAGAGTGAGCCAAGTTGGCAGATTTCTAAGGGAAAAGGGTGGCAAAAGTTGCCAAGGACAGATTCTGCGCGTGACAGCGCCATGAAGTGTGTTCGTACACTGGCAACATATGACGTAGCGGAATGTACGTAGAAATCACAGATCCGCATTTCAGGATCCGTACTCCCTGTAGTATGAAGACCCATTATCGGCTAAGTCCACTCTGAAAATCTCAGGATCCAAAACCAAGTAAGTCTGAGGCACTCATGTTTGAAAATCTTACAAGTCTGAAAAATCAGGATCCGTAGGAAAATACCCTGAGATTTCAGACAATCAGACTATTTTAGTCTGATAAAGTCAGCCCTGCTTGAGAGACTCTGCTAATATATACAATAGCACAATCGCAAGAATGCAAGGAGGTTGTTAATTACATCCGAGACAAGGCTAAGCACAGAGCGCCATCGCTGACATGTGCAACGCTGTAACACTTGAGAGACTCTGCTAATATATACAATAGCACAATCGCAAGAATGCAAGGAGGTTGTTAATTACATCTGAGACAAGGCTAAGCACAGAGCGCCATCGCTGACATGTGCAACGCTGTAACACTTGAGAGACTCTGCTAATATATACAATAGCACAATCGCAAGAATGCAAGGAGGTTGTTAATTACATCTGAGACAAGGCTAAGCACAGGGCGCCATCGCTGACATGTGCAATGCTGTAACACTTGAGAGACTCTGCGAGCCGAGTTGCAAGCAAATGCTTGCACTGGGAATCCCACATGAAAAGAGAGGAAACATAAGGGGAAGAGAGGGGGAACAAGTGATTTTGGAGTCGACTCAAAAGTGAAACGTTGTAACGCTTGAAAGACTCTGCTAGCCGAGTGGCAGGTAAATGCTTCCACTGTAAATCACACAGGGCAAGAGAGGAGGAATAAGGGGAATGAGCCTCAGACGGGGAAACTGAAAATGGCAATGGAAATTGTCAAGACAACGGGCTATAGAGATTCCGTGGGAAACACACATCTGCTGCACAGCTCATATGCTATGACCCATCTATGCTTGCATGATGGAGACATGTGAATACATGCTTGACTCTAGCAGCTATGGTGCCAGGGTCAGATGTGGAAGGACATAGATTGGGCGAGTTTCGTTATAGGCCTCTGTGCTACAGCAACATACTCACCATGAGCTGCTCGCCACGAGAGACTGCGTCATAGAAGAATGACTGACACGGGCAGTAGTGGTGCGGCAGGAAGATGTGAAAGGCAGAGCTCCTGGGGTTGCCGCGAACCTGCTTGATAAAGGAAGGGTTGAGCAGGGTGGATTGAGCAGGGTGGAATGAGCAGGGTGGAATGAGCAGGGTGGAATGAGCAGGGTGAAATGAGCAGGGTGGAATGAGCAGGGTGGATTGAGCAGGGTGGAATGAGCAGGGTGGAATGAGCAGGGTGGATTGAGCAGGGTGGAATGAGCAGGGTGGAATGAGCAGGGTGGAATGAGCAGGGTAGAATGAGCAGGGTGGAATGAGCAGGGTGGAATGAGCAGGGTGGAATGAGCAGGGTGGAATGAGCAGGGTGAAATGAGCAGGGTGGAATGAGCAGGGTGGAATGAGCAGGGTGGAATGAGCAGGGTGGAATGAGCAGGGTAGAATGAGCAGGGTGGAATGAGCAGGGTAGAATGAGCAGGGTGGAATGAGCAGGGTGGAATGAGCAGGGTGGAATGAGCAGGGTGGAATGAGCAGGGTGGATTGAGCAGGCTGGAATGAGCAGGGTGGAATGAGCAGGGTGGAATGAGCAGGGTGGAATGAGCAGGGTGGAATGAGCAGGGTGGAATGAGCAGGGTGGAATGAGCAGGGTGGAATGAGCAGGTTGGAATGAGCAGGGTGGAATGAGCAGGGTGGATTGAGCAGGGTGGATTGAGCAGGGTGGAATGAGCAGGGTGGATTGAGCAGGGTGGAATGAGCAGGGTGGAATGAGCAGGGTGGAATGAGCAGGGTGGAATGAGCAGGGTGGAATGAGCAGGGTGGGTTGAGCAGGGTGGATTGAGCAGGGTGGAATGAGCAGGGTGGAATGAGCAGGGTGGAATGAGCAGGGTGGAATGAGCAGGGTGGAATGAGCAGGGTGGAATGAGCAGGGTGGAATGAGCAGGGTGGAATGAGCAGGGTGGAATGAGCAGGGTGGAATGAGCAGGGTAGAATGAGCAGGGTGGAATGAGCAGGGTGGAATGAGCAGGGTAGAATGAGCAGGGTGGAATGAGCAGGGTGGAATGAGCAGGGTGGAATGAGCAGGGTGGAATGAGCAGGGTGGAATGAGCAGGGTGGAATGAGCAGGGTGGAATGAGCAGGGTGGAATGAGCAGGGTGGAATGAGCGGGGTGGAATGAGCAGGGTGGAATGAGCAGGTTGGAATGAGCAGGGTGGAATGAGCAGGGTGGATTGAGCAGGGTGGATTGAGCAGGGTGGAATGAGCAGGGTGGAATGAGCAGGGTGGAATGAGCAGGGTGGATTGAGCAGGGTGGGTTGAGCAGGGTGGATTGAGCAGGGTGGAATGAGCAGGGTGGATTGAGCAGGGTGGATTGAGCAGGGTGGAATGAGCAGGGTGGAATGAGCAGGGTGGAATGAGCAGGTTGGAATGAGCAGGGTGGAATGAGCAGGGTGGAATGAGCAGTGTGGAATGAGCAGGGTAGATTGAGCAGGGTGGAATGAGCAGGGTGGAATGAGCAGGGTGGAATGAGCAGGGTCGATTGAGCAGGGTGGGTTGAGCAGGGTGGATTGAGCAGGGTGGAATGAGCAGGGTGGATTGAGCAGGGTGGAATGAGCAGGGTGGAATGAGCAGGGTGGAATGAGCAGGGTGGGTTGAGCAGGGTGGATTGAGCAGGGTGGAATGAGCAGGGTGGAATGAGCAGGGTGGAATGAGCAGGGTAGAATGAGCAGGGTAGGATGAGCAGGGTGGAATGAGCAGGGTGGAATGAGCAGGGTGGAATGAGCAGGGTGGAATGAGCAGGGTGGAATGAGCAGGGTGGAATGAGCAGGGTGGAATGAGCAGGGTAGAATGAGCAGGGTGGAATGAGCAGGGTGGAATGAGCAGGGTGGAATGAGCAGGGTGGAATGAGCAGGTGGAATGAGCAGGGTGGAATGAGCAGGGTGGAATGAGCAGGGTTGATTGAGCAGGGTGGAATGAGCAGGGTGGAATGAGCAGGGTGGAATGAGCAGGGTGGAATGAGCAGGGTGGAATGAGCAGGGTGGAATGAGCAGGGTGGGTTGAGCAGGGTGGATTGAGCAGGGTGGAATGAGCAGGGTGGAATGAGCAGGGTGGAATGAGCAGGGTAGAATGAGCAGGGTAGGATGAGCAGGGTGGAATGAGCAGGGTGGAATGAGCAGGGTGGAATGAGCAGGGTGGAATGAGCAGGGTGGAATGAGCAGGGTGGAATGAGCAGGGTGGAATGAGCAGGGTAGAATGAGCAGGGTGGAATGAGCAGGGTGGAATGAGCAGGGTGGAATGAGCAGGGTGGAATGAGCAGGTGGAATGAGCAGGGTGGAATGAGCAGGGTGGAATGAGCAGGGTTGATTGAGCAGGGTGGAATGAGCAGGGTGGAATGAGCAGGGTGGAATGAGCAGGGTGGAATGAGCAGGGTGGAATGAGCAGGGTGGATTGAGCAGGGTGGGTTGAGCAGGGTGGATTGAGCAGGGTAGAATGAGCAGGGTGGAATGAGCAGGGTGGAATGAGCAGGGTGGAATGAGCAGGGTGGAATGAGCAGGGTGGAATGAGCAGGGTGGAATGAGCAGGGTGGAATGAGCAGGGTGGAATGAGCAGGGTGGAATGAGCAGGTTGGAATGAGCAGGGTGGAATGAGCAGGGTGGATTGAGCAGGGTGGATTGAGCAGGGTGGAATGAGCAGGGTGGAATGAGCAGGGTGGAATGAGCAGGGTGGATTGAGCAGGGTGGGTTGAGCAGGGTGGATTGAGCAGGGTGGAATGAGCAGGGTGGATTGAGCAGGGTGGATTGAGCAGGGTGGAATGAGCAGGGTGGAATGAGCAGGGTGGAATGAGCAGGTTGGAATGAGCAGGGTGGAATGAGCAGGGTGGAATGAGCAGGGTGGAATGAGCAGGGTAGATTGAGCAGGGTGGAATGAGCAGGGTGGAATGAGCAGGGTGGAATGAGCAGGGTCGATTGAGCAGGGTGGGTTGAG